AACCGCAATGTATTCATAACTTTTATCCTGAGCCTGAGCCCTTTCTGCCAATCTTCGTATACAGCAGTCAAGGAGCATGCCCGTGATTTATTCCATGGCAAGAAATTCTAGTCTCTGCGTCTCAACAAGAATATCGAGCATGAGTCACAGCTAAACCTTAGAACGCGCCACGGAGTAGCCAAGCAACAGCTCTTCCATTTAACGCACTGGAACCATGACATGGCCGCAACTATTAATTTTGCCAATGCCCCGGGACGTTGCACACGAAGTCGCTATGAACCGGCTGTTCCGTTCCTGGGATTTCTCCATCGTAATGGAGTTTCCAGCCTGTCATCCTGTTAGGCCCGCATCCCCAAACAACTGGAAGAGAGGAAGCCACTTACTCATTGGGAACGGGTAAAAGCTGCTTTGATCTTCGCGCATATAAGTATAAAACCCATGTTCCCGCGGGATCTTCTTCAACTCCCCCTGCGGTCCGGGAGCGCGGCGAAGGTTGTCCAGACGACCGACGACGCGCAGCATGGCTGTCAAAGAAACTTTACTGGCGTCGCCACCCAGGCATGTGTGTGGACCCACTCCATAATGGATATACGACTCCATAGGGCGGTTGAGGTCAACTTCATCAGGATTTGGAAACACGTTAGGGTCGCGGTTTGCGTCGACCTATTGCCAGTCAGTGCCAGTGTTCAACGATGCGTCAATAATAGATCGGCAGAAAGGAAGACTTACGAAGCTCACAAATACTTTGTCACCCGGCTTGATATGGACCGTACCATCCTTATCATCCAGCGTCAGATTGGTGTGGGATTTCCGGTACGCGCCAAAGATGCCGTTCAGGCGGATCGCTTCCATGCAGTAGCGGAGAAGCACCTCGTCTGAAGCGGAAGAGTCTTCCTTTGCAAAGCGGTTGATGTCCGGCAGATGCTGTCGGCCATTATCGGAGAGGTAGTAATCGATAATTTGTGTGAACACCTGCGCCTGGTTCGGCACCATGGCAGTAGCAGTCGGAAGAATCTGGGCCCATGTCACCTCCTCAGGATCTAAGCCACTCTGCAACAGCCGCTCCACCATGTGCACTCCATACTCGGAGAGAGCATTGTCGTTGGCACGTACACTGCCAAGCAGAGTGGCAACAAAGCCGGACGAATTGATGGCTCTGACGTTGACCTCGACCAGCTTACCAAGCTTCTGTGCTGCTTCGCGAGCCTTGTGGCGTAGAAAGAAGGATTTGACGGGGTCCACATCAAAGAAAATAGCTGTAAAGGCCAGCGCGATTATCTCGAACATCTCATGTTCGGTGAAAATCCCATGTGGATGCTTTCTAGTCTTCAGAGGAAGACTGAATATGCTAGAAGCGAAATGGACGTGGGCGAGGTTTCCAACACTATGCAAAGATCACAGACATGAGCATTGGCCTGGAATATCTTCTTGTAAGCCGGAGTGTATAGATAGGACTTACTCGCGAGTGATATCCACCTGATTTACGCCCCCCACCCTGCATGACTTTTCTGCCAAAAGCTGCTGGGTAAGCTCCAGGTAGAATCGCTTGACGGCCTCGTGCCACTGTTCGTGATAGAGGGCTCGAGACATGATATTGCGCTGATTCGCGTGGGCGGGTGCGTCCCCCGAGAGCATAAAGTTCCAGGCCTTTTCCCCAAATACGTACGCGGTTGCTTCACCCCACATCACCCGGAAATTTGACCCATCCTCAAGGATGTGACGGACGTTGGTATAATCAAAGACATTTGTTCGCGGCGGGATATATGCTGGACGGTCCCAAGAGTAATCTCCCCCGCGACCCAGCGCTTTCATGATTGTGCGATTCTCACTAGGAATCGTCATTGGATAGTGAATGTAGATTGAGTTGTAGCTGAACCACTGGGGAAATGCTCGCAATGCGAGTCGATAGAACGAGCAGCCCTGATTGACTTCCATGTTGTACTTTGCCTCGCTGTAACCCCAATTGGTCAGACTCCGTGCGTTAAATTCAGTCTGTTCCTCTGTTAGTACGCGCTACTGCGTCGCATGCGAGTAAGGCTACTCGTCGCATGCGAGTAAGGCTACCGACCGTGTAGAATCGGTCGCCCCGTACCAGCCCCACGGCGTCTGATAAGACAGCGCGAGAGACGGTATATCCAGGGGCAATTCCCACGCCCGGAATCATAGGTTCTTTGGGCTCCTCCGCAATGACGCCAGGGTACAGCTCCACGTAGTCCGGGTGCTCATACAAATGTCGCAGCTGATCTGATACATGCGGGTCCGAGTTGATCTCCTCAAAGCTCTTGTAGGGCTTTAAATTGAAAAACTTGCGGTATTCATTCAGTGACGCCACGTTCCACTTGCGCGCCTGCTCCATGCCGAGGATTTCAACGGATCGCAAGACCTTTGGCACATTGTTGGGCCCAAAGGAACCGGACACCTGTTCAATGGCGCATGTGAGTATGTCAACCAAGTCGGAATCCCTAAAAGTACCATCGGCCTGGCGCTCCAGGCCTGCAAATGTACGCTTGGACGGGTCTTTGTCCATCTTCGCAGAGAATCTCTGCATGCCTTGCAGAAGGTCCTCCAAAGTGGCCTCCTGTCCAGGCTTGCCAACAATCTCTTGGTAAGCTTTCTCCATCCACGCCTCATCTTGCCGACCAATCCCGGTGTGCCATCGATAGGTGAGATTGAACTCCACCGAGCACTGGTTGCCTAGTGCTGTGGGAACTACATCATGGTCCTCATGCGTTCGGGGATCCAGATTCCAAGTTGTGTTGTCCCGGTTGAGGTTGATGATCGTGTGCAGGTAGTCATATAATGTGATGTTGATATACATGCCACAAGTGATAAGACGTGCAGTTTGAAAGAGGTCATTGTCGTATTTGGCCAAGGCAGCCCGCGCTTTATCTGGGTCCATTTCATCATCGTGTACCTTTGTAAAGCGACCATTCTCATTGATAAGGGCCAGATGCTCAGCGACATAATTATGGTATCTGTTCAGCATGATCAAAATAACACCAGAGGCTGCTGGCAGTGCGTGAAAACGTGGCTCAGAAAAACAGTCTGGCTTGATCTTGCCATCCACAAACGTACGCATCATGTTCTGCTCAGCTTGATTTTTCCCGTATAGGATGGATAAATCTAGATATGATGAGGTCTTGTTGATGTTTTCGTCAGGGTAGCCAGTCTGGAAAAGGTCTGTCGGCTTGTTAGGTTCTGTCACCGACATATAGCGCCGCTCGAGCACATACCATGAATGATCAACGATGCCCATGTGAAAAAGATGCTCGAAACCTTGTTTGGATGCGGCTTGAAAGTGTCTCTCGCAAAAATGCTATCAAAGATCAAGCCGGGGTCAGGCAGACTAGCCGGCTTCATATGTGACGGTTCAGTTGTTCGAGCATATTCCGTATTTGCTGCACCTAGCCACGGTAAGGTAGGATTGTTGTAGGACCCATCAGCCGAGCGATAAGCGTATTTGTCTCCGACATATCTACTTCATGTTAGTACCATTCCGACAGCGTCATCGGGATCGCTTGGGAGACTCTTACGACAGGGGAGGATGGGGCAACGATTTCCAGAGCACGCCCAGAAACGCATGAGTCGCCTTCTCCCGCGTTTTGGACTTGTCGGGCAATTTGGCCGCCATCTAGGGATAGTATAATCAGCATTCTTTGGGTGTTCCCTCAGACCAGTTGTTTTTACCTGGATGATGCGTTCCATGAGCATTGTCTTATCGTTCACCGCTCGTCCGAGGGCCTCAGTCTTGATAAAATCCCTTACGGTTCTGGCATCTTCTATGCCCAGAGAACGAAGATCTTCCCACAGGCTACCACCCTGGGAATCATCTTCTACGTAGGTTCCATTGCCTGTCTCGGTTGGCAGTGGGCGGGTAGCGCTGTGCACAACCTCGGAAAGCTCCGTAAAACTGCCAGTTGCGCCCCCGTGTTCAGCGCTGACGTCGGCCCTTGGTGGTTCTCGCGACAGCCCATTGAAGTGTTGCACCTCATGAATACTTTTAGGTGCAGACTCAGGGGGCTTAGGGTATGATTCAAAGTCATTGCCAGGCTTACTGCTCGAGCCTTCGGTCTGTGATTCCTGTCTCATTGTGTTCAGTATCTTTTGAAATTGATATGGGAATTCCAAATGACTGGGGCAACCCGAGAAGTATCAGTGACCGAGGCCTGTCACAGATCCTTAAGTACTGCATAGAAAGTATACATTTACATCGCTTCTGCTTTCAATGACGCGTTCGTCTGAGACTAGCTAGAAGAATTAGGAACCGGTGTGGAAGTGCCTCGACCCTGTCGGCTGCTTCACGTCATCCCCAGATCACAACCCTTTGTAAGATTTAAGATTTAAGATTTACCTGTACGCCGGAACTGAATCAAGAAATCAAGAAATCAAGACAAAGGGCAGGACTTGACAATGGGCCGGAAAGGCCGCGGACAACCTTATTGGACGCTTGGTGGCAATTCCGCATTCGGCAGCCATTTTCCATAGTATATGACCCTTAGTTCGGGTTCATGATGACATGGAGTAGACACTATAAGGTTTGAGACGTTATCCATTTCAAAAGGCCCCATAAACATTATCTTTCAAGTATACTATACTGGTTCTTCCCCACAGGCTAAAGCCGACAAGGTCATGACTTATCAGGACCCACTGTCAACAATAACTAAAGAAATAAATATAGACACATGTTTTGATATCAGAATATAGGAAGAACCGCCAGGTACCTCGGTATTCAATGCTAGTCAGGACTCTGTTGCTAAGCCTACCCTCCCCATACTGGCGAGATTGCGCCATAAGCCCTCATTCGTCACCTCGACAGGGATCGCTTTGGGAGAGTCAACCTAGGCTAGAGCGAAACCAGTATGGATTGATACTAAAGCTATATAGCCTCTCGCCTGTAACCTACAGTATTTCTAGGAAAATCGAGACCACCCCCCCTCCTTCCTTTTTTCCCTTTTCCAAAAAGGTTCGACATTATTCATAACCGTCTCACGTGGATAACCATGCCCCCAAAACCTGGCCGCCTTGCTTCCATTTTCCGTGCATGCGGTCTGATCTGGTTCTCTATTTGCTGCAAGTCTTCATCAATTTCCACAACTCTACTAACCATGCCTCAGTGCACTGGGAAGCTTTGACACAAGCGGTTCGTCGAGACGGTCTTGCAGCACTTGGCCGCCCACGACAAATTCGAGATGCCGCTTCAGCAAAATTGCTCAGTATAACCTGTAACCTAATCCGCTCGCCCTATCTTCCCCTCACTCAACAACGTGTACAGAGTAGACTGACCATCATGCGCAGCTGGCAATTTTATCGCTTACGAAGACACAACCATTGTTCTCGAACTGGGCCCTGGGCCAGGCAATCAGACTCATCGTTATGATACCTCTCTTGTCAAACATGTCTATGGGGTCGAACCTAATCCCCACTTTAAGGACGACATAGATGCCAAGTTGGACAAGCGTGGCCTGCGCGATAGGTATACGCTTATAGCTTGTGGCGTTGAAGACAGCGATGTTCTGAGAGAAGTGGGAATCACAGAGGGGAGTTTGGATGCCGTGTTATGCATCCAGGTCCTGTGTGCGGTAAAGGATCCGAATAACGTGATGAAGGAGGTGTGGAAGCTCCTCAAACCTGGAGGCAAGTTTATATTCTGGGAACACGGATGGAGTAGAAACCGGTTGACGACCGTGGCGCAAGGTATGTCTGTCTCTGCCAACCTTTCTTTTTTCTCTAGTGGAGGGATCGACGAGTGCAGACCGGCTAACGTGAAGAAACGTTTGCTTGCTGGAATCCTGCCTGGAGCACCTTTGTTGGATGTCATTTGACCCCGAATGTGTTGGCAGACATTGTCAACAGTGGAGAGTGGGAAAATACACACGAGATTGAAGAACCTGAAGACCCGTTTAGTTTGTTGCCTAGGATCCAGGGTGTGCTTGTCAAGAAGAAGGCTTAATTAGAGCCTGTTCAGCACCGAAAATAGCCACACGGCTTCCCACTTCGTAATTCACAGAGAGTTTACATTCTGTTTAAGGAAGTATGCATATTGCATTGCCCTGATGTTTCAATGACGCATTCATGTAAGCCAAGTTATATTTAACATACTTCATGTTATCTACAGGTTGTATTCCCTAGTAACCTTAAAGGTTTACCGGTACCCTGGGATTCGAGTGAAGAATAGAGGTTACATCTTGTAATGGTGCCCCATCGCTATGAAAATTGTTCACTGTATGGTGTAAGGTTCCTTTCTGATTGGTTCATCGCTCTGCAATTCTCCCATTACATCCGTTTGCAGCATTGGTGCCGTAGAGGTAGATCTACCCAGTGCACTGGTACTTGAAATTTCCATCTTCATATAGCATATCTTACTAATAAATTACCCCCCCCTGCTGCAGTTTGATGACGTTTCGGCGACATGGTGGTCAGGCTATCTATGGAATGCGTTGAACTCAAAAGAGGGCTGGGCCGGGTCGCTGGCGAGACCCGCTTACCTTATTTAATACACAAATGGCTAGATCTATCTATATAATGGCGGATTCTTTTTGCGGATCACTGATTCAATAGTGGAGACAGCAAGTAAAACCAGAATGCATTTGAATGCGGAAATCCCTTACATTTTGTACTCATGGCTGGTACATAAATGATCCTCACCTAGTGCTTTCGTCAGGATGTTTTTGATATTATGAGAAATTAGATAGATTCTTCTACCAGTGTCTAGTGCTACCACTTCTTTCTCGTCCTGTCTTTCCAGCTTCCAAATGGTGCACTTGATAATCTACCCTTTCCTTCTATGGTTGGTTTGGCCGCTGCAAAGGTCTGCCAACGTAGCAAAGTGCTTTGGATAACGATAACTCGGATGTTAAGCTACCGTTCATGGGATGAGCCCATAGTCCGGTAGAGGCCTCAAGATGAGAGGTACCCATTTTCCCATCCACGCACCACATCCGCAGTCACAGCATCGGAGTAATTAACACCTGGGGTGTACGGAAACGGGCCCTCCAACACAGGAGGCGGCATCTGCTTCCATATCTCTTGGATGCGCTTGGCAGATGCAAGAAATCTCTGCCGGATTTGAGAGTTGCCAGGGATGACCAGATTGAAGTCACGTTTCCGAAACTCCCCGTTCACGAGGACGTGTTCAACATCCCCTGGATTGGAGTGCAGGATCACAGCCGCCACTGAGTCGTCCCAACCCAGCATATTAGGTGAGGTACCGTCGAAGACGACGAGATCGGCCTTGGCTCCTTCGACGAGCACACCAATGTCTGGGCGGCGCAGGGCAAGGCCCCCCGCGCGGGCCGCCAGTAAGAAGGCTTGCTCGACAGACATGGGGTTATTGGGCGGGATGTCCCAATGGTCGAGGACCTGGGCGTACAGTCGGAGCCTGACTTCCTGCAACCACATGCGCGCTTGGCCGACGATGTCTGCGCTGTAGGTGAAGTGGGTGTCGATTCCCAGAGAACCTTGTCCATAATATACTGGCTGCGTGCGTCGCCGTGTCCGTAGTGTCTTTTCTGATTCACCAGTGATGGAGATATATTGATTTGTTGAACGAAGCAACTCAGCGTCCTCCACAATCAGGTAAGAGGCGCGAGAAAAGACAATCGGAATAGAGGTGTTGAGGAAATTGTACTGATTGACCAGTTGAGGACTATTTGCGTCTGTACAAGTCAGCATTAGCAGTTGCAAGAAAACGTGAAATGGTAGGTATCCATACAACTCCAAGGACCACCAAGGTAGTGCATTGTGAATGCAGAAACGTTCTGTGACCTGGAATAAAGTCAGCTCTGCATACCTCAGTGGAGGGCGACCTCTTACACAGCCAAGGAGGTGATCCGGTCGATCTCGGCAGCACCTTCCACTGCGAAATTGTCATAAGCAATCCCTAGAGAAACAGTGTCGCTCTTCCGCCATGGACCATGCTGGGCAATGTGGAGGAAATCGGCAATCTGGTCCTCTCGGGTATAATTAGAGACCCAGGTCGCGTCGCTGAGATTATGAAAGCCATAGCACCACCAGGTTCTGGCTCCACTATCCACAGAGGCTTGAAGGCCTGCCAGTGCAGTCTCATTCGACCAAGTATGGTGCGCATGGTCCAGGATGGAAGTCACTCCACTGTTAAGGGATTCGTACAGCCCAGTCAACTGCCCTATATACACGTCCTCTGGGGTGAAGCTCTTCTTGGCCGGTGAGAACTCGCCATATCGCATAAAGTATTCCGCCAGACTAGTATTCGAACCCAAGGTTTTGAAGGCAGTCTGCCAGGCATGCCGATGCGTGTCCACAAATCCAGGGGTAATTATCTTGCCCTTGGACGGTACAACGGTGGTATTAGCCGGGAGTTGAACATGTTCTGACGCTGGAATGATCGCCGCAACAGTATCCCCTGTGACAAGCACGGAGGCATTATAGATCACTTGCAGAGTTTCACTGGTGTTGTTGAAGGAAACGACAGCAGCTGCGTCTTGGAAGAGAATGGATGCTCTGGCTAGGCAAGTGCTAGCGTATAGGAATTACTGGAGACATAAAAGCATTTCGTTCGCCATGATGTTCGGAAATATTTACACCCACGTGGTGACTATCGCAGAATGCCGATGGTCGACAGGGGTAGGAACTCTAACCATCTTTATAGATACTGACTGACCATGACTTGGCTCTTCTAACTGGAATGAGCCTTGGTCCTCAACATAAAATCTAGAAGTAGTTTTGTTGCATAAGCACGCTGGTGGATGCATAGGAGGGTGTTAAAATTTGTCAGCACTCAGCACTACGGAGATCTGGAAATCCGGAAATCCGCGAATCTTCCTACGCAACTTGGCTTTATTTGATCTGCTCTAGCTTCTAGACACTGATGATGGCTGATGGAAGGGTGGGAATCGCCGGAGTACAGAAGTCCAGAAGTATACTGACGGAAGTGACAAAGTTTTTAAGCTTGATATCGTTCCGCCAGGCCCGCGCGGGCCGACTACCGCTTCATCTGGTCTAGACTGGCTGTGGTACACACGACAACATCGCTCTAGGGCAAGGCTAATCTCGATCAGCCGTTGTTACTCACTATCGGAACCATTGGTATAGTAGCTCTTCTTGAACCAAGGTGATATACTCAGAGAATGTGGTTTCAACAACAGACATTTTCACTGACAGGTAAAAGCACATGCTATCGAACAATACAAAAGGCCCGACGTCCCAACTTATCTCTCTCCGCCGAGCTATGTGCTCCTGCTGCTCGCGACGAGCATCATCACAAGGGCGTAACAGACGCTGGTTGCCCTACAGTAACACAGTTCTCAGCAAAATGGAACCCCTGGTGGACCTCCTTGTTGGGGTCTTACCAGTCGGGGAACAACCGTGGTCTGGCATACCCTACTCTGCGCTTCACATCTCTCCGTAGTGTTCAACGACAAAGTCGGTCGCGAAGCATTCGGGGGCTCGGGGTATGTCTCTAGCCGTTATCGATGTTCTGACGGAATTTCGATAGCTGAGAAGAAAGCTCAGATGGTTCGAGGTTCTGACAATGTCCAGAGCCGCATGTGTCTCACGTATCTCAGGGTCCTGCTCCGGCTCGCGGAAGTGACGATAGAGAAGCCTTGGTTCCCTGAAACCACAGAAGTATTGGGGGCAAATGTATTTAAGGGAGTTCGCCGTGATGATCCGTGTGAGGATCTCGATTCGTTTTTCCGAACTAGCCATGGTGCGCATGGAGGGACAAGAGAACCAATTCACTTTTGGGAATGATCCCATGAGGCCAAGGTTATTATATAGCTTTCAGGCATATGTACTTGTGTTGCACAGGCCAAGGAGATCATCCTCACTCCTACCAGATATTTAGCAACTACGTTTAGTCGCGCAAGCAGCATGATTGTTTGTCTCTCAATAACACTACTATAGCGGGAACGACATCCCTGAACAGTTCAAAACTCGTGCATGCAGTCAACAGCCTCGAACTAATGCACAACGCGAGTACACCAAAGCCAACGGATCCTTCCAAGCGGCCTCTCGGCTCATTCAAGAACGCTGGGGTAATCGGCAGGTTTACCGGAGGAAATGCGGCGCCGGTTGTTTCTTGCCTGCTGTCGTAGTCGATCCAATTTTCGTTTGTCGAATATTCCTTCGTGAAGAAATGCTGCTATCCGATCCAATTCACTGCAGCTCCATCCAGCCTTGACTACTGCAGCTGTCGCTTCTGGCCCAATCGATTTGTACTCGCTCCAAGGGCAGCGGTCGAGGACGAGGTTGCGCCGGAACGTTACCACCAGGTCATCTACTCCCATAGCCCTTTCCGCGTCCAAGAAAAATATGGACTGAAGTTTTTTTTCAGTAAGCGTAACGGATACAGAGCGGACAGATTGCTGACCTCCTGCTTTTGGATGTTCCTTGAGCCTGGAGCTATCCATTGTCTAATCCAGAGCGGAACGAAGCCGGCGAAGCACTCCATCGTTCAAAATGTCTGAACGTAGCGCGGAACGTTTGTAGATGCAGGATAAGAGCCCGGTACACTTCTAGAGCGGCCTGTAGGCTTGTCTGCGACTAATATTTGGCTCCGATTTATGTGCTTATTATATACAATGAAACCATCTGACCTGATCGAAAGTGAGCTCTATATCCACGCCGGCCGCTTGTAAGACTTCATCCAAACCTGCTACCAATTTGGGGCTTATACAGATTCAGATATGACAAGGGCTGGATTGCGTGAGCAGTTGGCGAGCAGTTGGTGTCCAATAAGCGAAAAGTTGGTGAGCAATTGGCTGAGAGTTGATAGTAGTTGGGGGCCAGTTGGGGGGCAGTTGGGGGGTATTTCGGGGGTAGCTGGGGTTAGTTTGGCTGGACGTGGGTCCAATATGGCGCCCTTTTGACAGGTTTGCAGCGTCAATGCCCATATGTTAGGCCCACTAACGCCTGTGTATAGTACGCGCCGAGTACATTTGTTACTAGCAGGGTTTACCTACATCCGATTGAATGCCATTCGAGGCCAAAGCGCCGTCGAACCTCGTCACATCAGCATACGCGCCGAGATTGGGCGAGGTCAAGGAAATATACTATCACATCTCAGCGGCAAAACTGGCCCGTCACAAGGCGAAAATATGATATTTCGGGCGAGCATGGACATAAATGCTTTGCAATTCCCCTTTCTCGTCTACAAGAACAGAACTCTCCATATTCTCTCATATCACCAGATACTGCCCGATAGATTCATCTACGCCATCATCCAGAATGTCGAAGGCCTCCGCTCCCGGTACCGCTAGCCGCACAATGAGTGCCCGTGAAAGAGCTCTTGCAATTAGAAAAGCGCAAGAAGACGCACTGGCTTGCCTGCCTCTCAATACCCTATACATCGTCCTCTGGATACGATCAGATCCACCCAACCGAACGACTTTCACTGGGGCTACTATTTCCACACAAGCCCGCAAGGTGGACTGAAGTACCATATGAGAAACTTGGGTGCTGGGTGGATACCAGACCATGGCTCAACTGGTGGTGTATTCAAATCCAATTTTCTGTGTGTTCTTATTCAGATCGCAAACGTTCCTCCAGCGAAACACAGCCAGCTTGACCAAGTCATGAGGTCTCGCGATCGAGATGTCAATTCTATTCCTGGTGTCACATGCCGTGTCTGGTTGGTGGTGATCTTGCAAGCGTTGATTCAGGCCGTAGTAGTCCGTTGTAGCAGTGTTGAAGCATTGCAACAGGAGTGCATGGCTTTCGGAAATCAATACAGCGCTGGTGCTGCAACCAATACCCAGCCGCGGCCCGTTGTCAGATCGCGGATGTGTCTTTGAGCGGGGGTAATGAGCAAGCCAGCCTCCTAACATCTGTCTGAGCACCATCTGTCGTTCGTTATGATATGCTTGAGCTCTTGCTGATTTTGTTATTGTTCACCTTGTCCCTCGTTTGGTTTGTTCAACACCGGTGCTCTTGGATAAATGGGCATGTTGAGCTTTGTCTGCCTTGCCATGAGTTAGCTATCTACGATTAGTACATATCATTCTTTCGAATAACCAGCCGTTATATTTATTCAAGGATTCGGTTTTAAGCAGAAACTTGAGGCTACAATGATTCATGTCTACAACATTGAACCATTAGATTGCTATGTATGAGTCGACCGTTAGAAGGTTAAGGGCGATGTCCGAAGCCAGTTCACCCAAGTATCGGTCACCTCCTATCCAAGAGGCCACTTGAAACCACCAGCTACCTTTGCCAAACCTCATTGCTGTTGTGTATTCCCAGTATTCCGGATACCACCCAGCAGATTCCCAATCCAAGAACCCAGATAGATGCCCATCGTCGCCGATTAGAATATTGTGAGCCTTGAAGTCCCCGTGGGTGAATGTAATCCGATAATCACGTTGCTGGAGCTTTTTTGCACACGCTAGGGTGTCCTCGTATTCAACCATAGTTTTAAAGCCATGAGGTGAAGCGGGCGAAATCAAATATTCAAGAAGTTGCGTATGATCGGTGAAGGGCCCCATTATATGACCAGGAACCCGCGGACTTCGCAGAGGCGTTCCGATAGGGGAGCAGATGGAATGGTGGTTAGGTGGGAGCCACGAACGCATTGAACGCACACATTTGTTGAGTTCCTCTAGCCATGGTTCTTCTAGGTCGACCTGCAGCTCATCATCCGAATTTTCCAGGGGAACTCCAGGCAGCCTGGTCATCAAGATCGATATCTTCCTGTTGAATGGAGCCTTTAGATGTTCGCCGTAATTTAGTACCCTGGGAACAGGAATTCCGGCGGCACCTGCCATTTGCATTGAAACCACTTCTTCAATGCTAGTCCGATCTGTCCATTTCATGACGAGTCCAAATGGCAATTGGACGATATTGGCGTTGAATGTGATTCCGAACCAGGAGCAATACCACTGGGAAAAGTAGTAAAGAGACTTGTGCACAAGGCCCCATGCTACCCTGACATTCCTGCTGGAAATATGGGGCAAGGGCGGTGTTGTCTCCGAGATTGTAGACGGCACTGGTCGTGGCCAGGTAAAGTCCGGCCGTAAGATGGCGGGAATGAAAGAATCAAGCATTTTTCACACGACAGAAGACCGTCGGGCGGATATAGGTCAATACGTGTCTGTAGGTGGGATGTATAAAGAGTCGCGTTTCCTAGCCCGAAAGAAGCACAATGTCAGAGATCATGATTGTCTCACGTGACCTCATGGAGTGTGTTTATTGATTGTTACATCAGCCCCGCTTACCCCCCATTCACCCCCCCAAAAGGGCCCGAACCATCCCCCAGAAGCCCAGGCAGATATTCACAATCGATCATCAGAACCGACCACATCTTCTCCCTCACTGCGTCAAAACCCTTTCTCGCCAAAGTAGAAGCCAAGAAAACATGGCCACCCCTTCTATACTATTGCAAACGAAGCAAAATGGCTTGTTTGCCTCCGACCACGGATACTCTGATGTTTCAGATCGAGATCTGCTCGCACTGGTTGAACTTTGTCGAAAGACAACGGAGTCGATGGACGCAGAGTTGGTGAAGAGATAAATCTGGATAAATTCTAAGGTATCAACTGTTGTCGATGAGTGCTTTCAGAAGATGAGGAATACCCTAAGCACTGTGAAAACACTCTAAAGGCTTGAAGACAACAACATTGCGCTCGTGGAGAATGCGGTCAATACTATGATGAACCAGCCACCGAACAGAGAATCCAAGCTTTACTGGACATTTCTTACAGACATCCTACGCATCGGGCATCGTGGACTTGTCGTACTTTGTGCAGCCAGCCTGGGAAAGTAGAGGATTGTGTCCATGAACAAGCAGGAGCGGCTCCAAATGATCCAGTGTCTGAAGCTCAACAAGGCTATATTCAACTGCCCCATTCTGGAACAACCGGCCACAGTATACAAAGTTCCACATTACGCCGGTATGGCCGCGATACTGTAACCTACCCATGTGCCCCAATCTGACAAGCTATCAAGACCTTTTCCCTTCAACGCCCATAGGGGGATCGATGATAGTATCGAGGAAAAGATCGTGGAATGAAGGTATATTCTTGCATTGAGCTCGGTGGACGCATTCAAAAAGCACATTTTAACGTCTTATTGGTCCAGGATATACCGCGCCAATAGCCTCCAAGTCGATGGATGCAGCTTGCCAGACATCGGAAAATTGTCAGGCCATGTTCACTGCAGATTATTCTGCGTCAGAATTTCTTCACCTAGATGAGGCATGTGCAAGAATAATTCTGGAAGAAACAAGAAAGCAGCGACACGCCTTGACAATAACACTACCAGCTCCACACACAAATCCACCTTTCATGGTCATCCCTCATGAGATATATGCAGATATCATGCGTTTACATGCTAGCTGAAGTATAGATTCACAGGGACGGGCTCCTTTGGACATATTTGACTTTTGCGCCTTTCATCCACCAGCAATAATATCCAGGTTCTAAAAAGACTATTGTGACTCTGTGAGGCACTCCTGGAGATGTCTGCCAAGTCTGGACATTGTTATCCCCAAGGAAAATTTTGACGGTTCCAATTTCGCTTCTCAACCAAACAATGATGGCCGTGGTATGATCAAATGGGCCACGTATGCAAACCGGTTTGGCCACAACCTCTTCAACAATGCCATCGATACCCGTCTGTCAAGCATTAGACCGCAGTAAACAGAAGTAGAATGTCTGACATACCGTTATCTTGTATTTGTCCCTGATCTTATCATCATCGTCCGCGATGTCCGTAACATCCTCTGATCAAAGGCCCTCATGCATCATCGCACGTGTCAGGATTACAGAGTGTTCATGTCAGCCGGAATAGAGCGAAGGAAGCGGTGATTGAAGGCATAAAGGCTTTCGCGGAAAGTTCTCGGTTGCGAAATTTGATTATTCAAGCTGGAGAAAGTAGTTAGATTGTGAAATAAATGGTATGGTTCTCAAAGCAAGCTCACTCTCCAGCCCACAGTAGTGGCCGTTCTAATGATCCTTATAACGTTCGAACTGAGAAGCGTCGAAAGAAAATCAGGCCATGGCACGATGAATCGCTGGAAAAGTGTGGATATATTATTAAATAAAAAATAGATATTGGGCATGAATATAGAAGCGATGCCCAAACTATCGTCAAAGGTGTTGTCGGCTTGTAGCGTTAATAGGATTCTATGATTGAGGGGCCAAAGGAGGGGGCATAAAGATTTGGTTCTCGTCACATGACACATCACCACGTGACCGAGGTTGACCACACTAGGGCTTCCTGGATGATGAGCAACTATGTATTTAAGACTCGGATTATCAGCGGTAAGGATTGCTTGTTGTTCAAGTCGGATGGCAGAGCAGCGGCCATACACTCCAGTAGTATTCCGTTTGCATTGTCGTTCAATAGAACCTCCGCGCCGCTCAAGTTTATAGAAGATGGAGTCAAGGGGAACTTTACAGAAGACGAATGCACGACTCGACACTAGCCGGTCTAACGATGACACCCGTCCAATTGGGCCCAATTTCCCAGGGTCGTGGGAGAAGGAGTATGTGGTCAGTTTCGACATGAATCCCTCCATGGACCCTCGGAACATCGACTACGCAAGGGAATGGGTCATTGTCTTGATCGTCTCTCTCGGGTCTCTCTGCGTGTAAGTATACTTACCTAGCACCTGTATTGCTTTCCCTGTGGGTCGTAGTTAATACTCTCTAGGACTTGCACATCATCTATGTACACAATGACGTACCGCCAACTGACAGAAGAATTTGGCTGTTCGTCTTTGATAGCCACTCTAGGGCTTACAACTTATATTTTTGGACTCGGTGAGGACTGATTGAATTACTTGCGTTGGCGTCATAACTGCCTGGGATTACTGACTCTATTCATAGGGATTGGTCCATTGTTTTTCGCCCCCCTCTCAGAGGTTAGTAGCAGCAGTGGTGCTTATCAGGCAGGAGACGATACTCACGATGTACAGCTATACGGTCGACGAAACATTTACATTATATCCTTACCCTCTTCCTGATATGGCTTGTGCCGTGCGCGGTAGCCCGCAACATTCAAACTATGATCATCGCGCGGTTTTTTAATGGGCCTGTCCGGGAGCGCGTTTCTGAGCGTTGCAGGCGGCACAGTTAGTGACCTCTTCAACTGCCAGGAACTCGCGGCTCCGATGATGATTTACACTGCGAGCCCATTTATTGGTCCTGAGATTGGCCCTCTGTAAGTTTACGTATCCTTTTCGTCCCATATATTCTGACTTATTCGCCTAGTGTTGGGGGCTTTATCAATACATTCACCACATGGTATCCCGCCCGTTGCTATGAAAGGCTGAAGGCCGATCACTAACTTTTCTAGGCGCTGGACATTTTATGTTCTCATAATATGGACTGGTGCAATCCTGGTACTGATCTGCTTTTGCGTGCCGGAAACCTACCATGTAAATCCCTTGTCACGAATTACTACTTCATATCGGGTCCACTAAATGGTAAGCAGACTCCTGAAGCGCATGGCAATAAACCTTCGCAAGGAAACGGGAGATGAGAGATGGAGAGCTCCTACCGAGAAGTCATACATCTCCGTCCTGCACATGATCCGCTCTTCCGTATACAGGCCGATGCAACTGTTGGCATTGGAACCCATGTGCATAAATCTCTGCATATTTTCTGCCATCTTGCTAGGCATTCTATACCTCTTCTTCGGTGCCTTTCAGCTGGTCTTCTCCAATGTCTATGGCTTCAATCTCTGGCAATCGGCTGTTCGTTTCTGGGGATCCTCGTCGGAATGGTGTCAGCGATCCTGACGGATCCCCTGTGGCGCTGGAACTATGACCGTCTCGAACGACAACATCAAGAAGCCGTTGGGGAGAAGAACGAATTCTTGCCAGAATGGCGACGACTCCCCCCTGGTAAGTGTCCGAGGACATCATCATTGGGATTGAGGTACTAATGGATTGCGCTATGAAGCAATTGGTGGAGCTCCGCTTGTAACCATTGGACTCTTCATTTTTGCATGGACAATCTATCCACCTGTCCACTGGGTGGTACCCATTATCGGAAGCGCGGTGTTTGGAGCAGGGTATGTTGTCTGAGCTCGCACAAATAACTGGGTCAGTGGCTAAGCCTTCGCATATACAGCACAGTGCTAGTCTACTCTGGTGTATTTACATTCCTGGTGGATGCGTATCCCACATATGCGGCGAGTGCTCTGGCCGCCAACAGTTTTGCACGTTCCACATTTCCAGGCGTCTTTCCCCTCTTTGGCGTCCAAAGTGAGTAACCCCTAATTCGGCGTTAGTCGATCTGCTCTCCAGAAGTGGTACTAACCATTGCTGTATAGTGTACGACAGACTCGGCTACCACGGGGCAACGTCGCTGCTAGCTTTTCTTACGGTCATAATGGCTCCCTTCCCGTAAGTGGCCCTTATCTTGCCCTTTCCTGGCGAATCTTTTACGACCTTGTGGTACATGATGTTGTATCTCACAATGCATGTTCTATGTGCAATCTTATCCATCTGTGGCTGACAGAATCTCCCGATGTCATTTACAGATATATATTCGTCCGCTACGGCAGTCGGATCCAGAAGAAGAGTCGATTTGCAACATCACACACCTGAGAGTGACAGCAACCGAATTATGCCTGTACATGTATTCTTACTATAGAAATAAAAAATTAAATAGAGAGTTCAAAGTGAACGATTATACACAACGAAATTCCCTGCTGCAAGGATACTAAGCTGTCTGTATAAGATTACGGCTGATGAACATTCAATATCTATGCACTTATTATAATAACACGTAATGAGAGAGACTAAAGATATAAATCATGTCACTCAAGAAGCATACGCAATTTCAGGAGAATCTTATGAGCCGTCAAGCACCCAAGCAGAGTAGGATGGCGGTACCTATCAGGAAGACTAAGCAGAGAGAGAAACGAAATCAATGTACAGAACGAATACGTGTACATATACAGGCGAGTATGCGCGTGAGAAAGGGATGTAACTAGAAGGACCTTTCAAAGAGCAGACAGTCGAAAGTTCCGATCAAATAGGACACCCAGGTCAACTGCTAATCTTGGGAGAGCCTTCACAGACTGTCGTAATAGGAGTATGGCTGGTTTAGTAGGTATAAAGGCTTAGGCTGCGGACCAATGCTACCACCATACCAGACAGGACAAGTGAGGTTCTTCGGGGGCGCAAGATCGGGTCTTCTCGGAAAGGACATCGGTCTGGTGATAACGGTAGTCCTTGGTAAATGCATGACGGACACGTTCAGTGCGTTTCCTTGCATACTATCATAAGGTACTCATTGCATTAAGAGCAGTAATATCGCACATTGCCATGCTGACTAAGTAGTTGAAAGATCTCGAGATAACAAGACGCATCTTTACGAGACGATGTCCATTTCTGTCTAGAAATCGTGTCACCTCTTAGCCTTGCCGGTCCTGAATCCACTATCTATGTCTAATGTCCCAACGCCGTTCGACTTGGAGTCCTTTTGCATAGTAAAATTGCCCTTTCTTTGAGATACCTGACCGACTTTGAAAATGAATGCCTCAAATAAGTATGCTTCCGATGTACCTTTTCGTCCTCTGGGGATTGAAGAGAAGTATGCTCTGTGTCAGGAGTTAGAGAGTTATTGGTCGATCTGCCACTGCATACAATGTTACTACTTAATCAACCATATTCCATTAGGTGCCACATACGATGAGAGCGTTGCTGTTTCATCCAAAGGCCTTATAACATTTGGCGGTTCATATGCACTTCGTCGGTTTCGTGGGTGTCCAGCACCGGTTGTGTTCGATATGTCCGCTAAAGATCGAATGAAGGGTAATACAGCATCTTCCGCGAGCATTTCGTATGCATAATGAAGGACTGGTTCCAGTAAGATCGGCGGCGGGCAAGGAACCCCAGGTGTGCTTTCCATTAAGGTGTCTCGCATCCACCCTGGTATGTTGATCTCGCGGGGAGCGTTGCGAACGATATATGTGTCTTTCAAATGCTGCCATTCCCTGGCGACATATGAATCCTCTTTTTCAGAGGTGTCCTCACCTAGCACACTGAAACGTGCTAGTGATAGGTTGTAGCTCTCACGGTAGTGCTTCACCTCTGAGATGAACTCGAGTGTTTCGAGGCAATGGTTCCTAGCAAGGAAATCCACAAAAGCCTCGAACGTATAGGGATGTTCACTTGAGTGGGATAGGATATCATTGAGAGTAGTCCTGGAATACCGTTTCCGCTTTGATTAGCGATCTTTGTCTCGTACGACTGCTGAGGCAGAGAGGACTTGCTTACATGAGGAAGGGTCTTCAGCAATCAACCTTGCTGGCTTCAGGTCTTGTCAGTCCATAGGAATGATCACAGGAAGGCGATTTTGGAAGTACAACCTCTATATATACAGGAAAAAAATATTCACTTTTTTTATTACTGCGATTAGAAATCAATTGCAACAGCCTTGAGCTCCTGGCAATAAAATATGACATAATAAGTGGTCTCCTTCCCGATTGAGTCATGACCTTGACCTGAATAGTCTTTGACTTTCTATGGTTCCAGGGAAATGAACGGTAGCCACAGCGAAGTAAGAGGGTTGAGTCCATATTCGCCCCCAATAAATCTCCGCCTTGTTGGCCCGTTATTGTGATAAGGTAAACGAAGACATCCATCCACCCGTAACATACAAACATGCTCAGATCGTACTCATGGCCGCCTGTCGCAGAAGACCCTCTGGACAATGAGCCTAGAAAGGCTGGACAGACGGGGCAAAACCGAAGGGAAGCTTTAAAACGAAGGGACGAAAGTCTCATCTTTCCACAGTTGAGGGCATGGTATATGTGTTGGCCAAGGTTCGCCATTCGCATTGTAGAAGGCATGGTTGATCTCGGTCCAAATGGCATACAAGCTGATAATAATGCTCCCCAGGACACCAAATACAGCCCCTAAAATTAGTATCGACCTCGCAACAGCAAAAATAGCTCGCGAACGACTAGGTCCCACAGGACCACCTAATAAAAATATGGCTGAAACCGCTGAGCACAAATAGAGCAGAGGTAAGAGCCATAGTTGCTGCAAACCAAAAAGCAAATAATGCGAAACCCTCAAGATCAAAGAAAAATAATTGCGCTGTGCATCTAAGCATATGTTCAGCGCATGTATGTAATGTTGTAAGAATTGAGGTTGCATGATGACTTACCCAAAGAAATATGTGATCCCTGGGTTCCAAAGACTTTTTAGGCCTTCCTCAAGATTTATCAAAAAAAATAAGTCAGAATACGCAATGAAAATCACTAAGCTCACATAGCACATGGGGTCACAGGCCCAGTCATTTTCCTGATCGAATTCTTCATCGGAGGCAGTCAGCCATCTCTTATTAATCGAAATTATACAGATACTTTGTAGAAGAACCAAAACCCCATTTACAGCGTACCAACAGATGAGTCTGTCTGCTAGCACCATTGAGTTATCTGCATGATGGTAACGGTGGGATGTCCGGATGATAGAGCCAATGCACTGTAGCATAGCAAATACCATCAGTGCATAATCACCGAATGAAACAACGTAGTCCGTTCCATGGAGGGAATTATATGATAATGGCGAGCTCCATACAGGTATTGAGCACCAGGAGGGACATATAGTGACAAGGGAGGTCCGATCTGCCTTCTTGCATCCTCAACATGAGCGCCACAGGCTGAGGATAGAAAATAATGTGCATCACTTGAGTACCGATTGGTCTGTCCGTACGGACCACTAATGAGTCGAAGAGGAAAATTGAGACTAGCCGTAAAGACGGCGCAGATAAGGTTGAAGATAAATTCTACAGTTGGATATCCTGGAAATATGGCGAAAATCAAACACGCTTTTCCATGCTCTAGGAGTCCTGAGCAATGAGTGTTTCAAGTGTCCATATGCACCAAACACTGTAACACCTGTGACTACAAGGCTCATGAGGAGGTCAAAGGCTGTGCGACGGCCTTGTAAGGGGCAAGGGCTTGTTACTGTGCTCGCTGACATGGATCTTGGAGATTTGAGATAAATTCGGCAACAAGTCGAAGAGAAAGGGTTTGATCTTGCAATTGGAATCAAGCAAAAGACCGTTCCGTCATATTTTTAAGGCAGGATATCGATCAGCAAAGGTTGCGTTATAATCGCAATAACATGGGTGTCGTAGTCGTGGTATCATAGATGACAGATTGAAGCTAATCTGGGCCGTTCCAGACATCCAGAGCCACCAAAGCGCTGACGTAGAAGACTGTCTGGCCAATCAATATTGAATTTTTCCTGATTACCTGAGTCTGAGCCTGTTTGCATCCTTTCCACCAACTTTTCGTAAGGTATGTATGTATCTGCGGATAGGTCTAAGGTGGGAGAAGCCCCATATGTTGCAGTAGTCTGTTATATGGTTATGCCTAAAATATGTAATCATTCCTATCAAGCATTATACGGTTCGTACTATAACAATAAGCATTAAAATTGTTACATTGTTACATCTGGACATAGAATTCCCTTCATATGCAGTAGTCAAACAGTATCACGGCCTGGTGTCGTATCACAGGCTGGGATCAAGTACGATTTCCTCGCTTCCACCCTCACCGTCCAATACCCCTTATGTCTATGATACCACCAAAAGCAGCGTGCACTGGCTGATCATCCGTACTTTGGAGCTTGAGCCCAGTAACACGAGACATGCGTTCCCCGAAACTTCAACCTATTATGGTGATAATGTAATCTACGGCAATTTCTTTATCCCCAAGCCCTCAACCTCATTAACCTCTCTTGTCGTCTCCAATCTCCCTTCTTGGGGAGTGCTCCCACTCAGCTCCACCCCCCTCGGACACTCAAGCTCAACGCTCCGTTCTGATATATCCGACCTATATGTCTGCCGGTGACCACTCTCCGCCCGCATCACATTCGCTATAGTCGGTACAGTAGATAAACTAGACACATGGCGATGATGCGACGGTCTAACCGGGCTCGGTTCACCCTCCGTACTGGGTGTGCTAACCGTGACAGGGGATACATAGTCCGTGCCCGAGACGCCGGAGCTCGAAACCGGACTGGGGAGGGGATTATTGTTGTACGGTGTGGGAAGCTCCACGGGGAGTGCGGTGGTATGGCCTTTGCAACGATTAGCAGGATACAAGAAATGGGTGACGGACGGACCTAGCATCTCGTAAACGGGATCACCACCTGCCTCTACGCTCCACGGTGACACCGCGGTTGCCGGCGTAATATTTGAATCATTCGCAAATGCACTGTACCCTGTCGATGCAGTTGTGTCGCCTGACTTCGGTACGCCAGTCGTCGACCCACCGGTTTGCATCCACCGCAGAATCCAGGATCGAGCTGGTTGCTCGCTTGTGGATTGTGATTCGCGGGACTTGCGACGGCGACGAAGACACCAGAATATAACCACTGCTGTGATGAGAAGGAGGCCTAGAATAACGCCGATGATGGCGCCGGCCCACCGGGGGAAGCTGGATCCTTTGGCTGGGACAGGGGTAATGGTAGGTGAGCTGCTAGTGGTGCTGTTGTAGGGGTACCAGGTCTTGATGGTCTTGGTGTATTTGGTTTTGAACACATCTGCCAGAGATGAATTGGTCCAGGAGGTGAGTGATATTTTCGTGGCGCCCCCTTTGGAGCTGTAGCTCGTTAGCAAGTCAGTGCATAAGGGGCCGGCATACGTACTCTCCCCCAATGACGGCAGTGACCAGGTCCGGTACTTTGTACTCGCCCCAGATTGTCGGGCTGTAGGTGTTTTGGAACCTGCCGGTGTTCAGGTTGAACACTTGGACCACTCCACCATCGAGGCAATGCGTAGGGTCAAGATGCACTCCTCCGAGAACAAGCATTTGGTCCGGATATGGTTTGACACAGCGGTGACCACTCCGACCATGGGTGCTATTTCCACTGTAAAGCTTAATCCAGCTGAAGGAGGGCAAGGATAAGACATAGACATCGTCGGAGGGTGTGTTCTCTGTGCTCAGCCCGTCGTAGCCGCCGTAGATATAGATGTTGTGGGAGGATTTGTCTTGTGCGCTCGCATAAACCGAGCAGAACTGGGTCAGCTGGGGAGGAATGTCCCCGGTTGTGTTTTGCAGATACCTATTCTCAATGAGTATTCAAGAGTTTAGCGGCCCAAGAACTCACCATTTATCACTGCTGACATCGTAGACAGACACTGTCTCCATGAACCCCGGGCTTACCCTCTTGCTCGCATTCTGCTGGGCACTCGTCAATCCCTCCGATGAAAAGATCGTGGCTGAATTAATCACTCCCCCAATCGCGACCAAGACCCCGTTCTCAGCGACAGGGATCCAAACAAGCTCAGCATTAGCACGCGGAGGCACATATGCCGGTAACGACAGATTAGACCACTTGTTCTCGCGCATGGTCGACATGTCCACCTTGATTATGCGGTCGGATGTGACATTGGCCGATTCATCGTCAGCATAGATAGGTCCCCAGTCTTTCCCGCGCATGCCACTGAAATAAAACCCCAGGTTTTCGCTCGGTGCGGAGACTCCGGCGCCATTCGTCACGTATCTGGTCACGCCGCTGTTGAGATTGTCGATGATAAAGCCCGGTTGCCAGGATTCTCGGTCTGGGCCATACTGATATCGTTCGTAGCCAAGAACGCTGTTGCCGGCTGGGGGGTCTTGACTGTCTGTGAGACGGAGGAGGCCACTATGTACGGTCAGAGGGAAATTGATGAAGAGACGGCCAAATTACCCGTAAAGATATAACTCGTTGTCGTTAGCGAACATGGCACCGTCGCGGTAGGTCGGGGCGATATTGTTTGCGATTCCTCCGGCTTTGGATACGTTGCCGAACAAGGCAGTCAGGTTTGAGGTTGTAGTATCGAAGGATGTCGAGAGATTGAGGTAGTAGAGCAGCCCGTCATCGTTTCCTGCGCGTCGTTAGCCATGATCATCCTTGAGGCTGGTGATACCTACCATCGTTAGCCAAATTAGATGTGCCATCAGCCAAGTCTCTATTCAGTTTATCAGTATGCATCGAGATAAAACGGAAAGGAGCACATACCGCTTCCACCACAATGATCCTCCATCAAGGTAGACAGTATCGCGAATCGTGTTAACTGAGACATATGAGTATTGTCGTCACTGGGACACCTTGGACGGAGTTACCTCGAACTTGATCCCAGTTACATATCGAGACATTGACATTCCATCCTTGTGCTGTCGAAGAGCCAACCAAAAGGGCAAATATGCCGGCTAACCTGCGCCAATCGAATCTCATTCTATTCGAAGCAAACAGTCAGGACAGAATCAGGACGAACACTCCGTCCTTTTCCTGCTGTGGTTTGTTTTTCATAAATCACATTACCCTGCGAGGCTGTGTAGAAAGCCTCAAGCCAACAGCAGTCGCAAATGGTAAGCATTGTCGTTAGTCAAAAGACATGCTCCGGAAACAAATAAAGAAATCTTAAGCCACGAGGGCAACCAGAGATCGGAAAAAATGGTCAGGCGAAAGAGGGAAGGCCAGACCATCGGTACCCATGCCAGCATTCCTATCATGAGGCTTTGAAAGTGAAACTGCTGTTGGTGGAGGGAAAGAAGAAAACACATGGGTCCGTCATATAGAATACGAGTCGCGCATGAGCCTGATGACAGCCTGTGCCTTTGCTGGAGACAGCGTCGCTTCGAGTGGACATACTTGCTACAAGGACGAAATTCTTGGGGAAGCCATCAGGGTCAAAGCAACGATTGTGTAACCAACTGATCCGTATTCCCCTCTTATTTTTCCCTTTTCAGTTAGTTCTTATTTTCTTTGTCCTCTACAGCGCCCCGGGACCATGTTCGACACTGGAAGTGGAACAAAGAAAGAGGGAAAACAGAACATCTTCATCAAGCAATATCAAGGCACATTCGCACCGATTAGGATAATTATTGAAGAGAAATGAGGGAACGTGGGTTTCTGTCTTGATCTGCTCTTAGTCCGTGGAATATTCTGCTAGTAATGTAACCATAATTGCTTATTGTCACCTCGAGGACTAGACCGTCGAGTCCTGCAGCCACAATCTTCAGCCCCCCTGCTACTGCACTCTGCACCCAATCCGGGGCGTGGCATCGATTGACATGTCATCATGCTCATAGTCGTCCCAATGTTCTGGGAAGAATATCATAGGCAGAGATGAGGCAGGTATCTGGAGGCCTAAACGTCGAATATTCAGCCTCAGCATGATCAGGTCGGTAACGGCATGTAGTAGGCTTGTCAGTATGCATACCCAGCACGCAGGCGACTTATTGACTCAAAAAACGTCTATATTATCCGCAAGTATCCGCTGCCATGTGGACTGGGGGTTTCTTTGTTCTTCTGATGATCGACCGAGGCACGCAGGGTGACATTGACCAGGAACGGAGTTGGTTCTTTGTCTGTTGCTTCAGCCACCATCACATCCTGTCCAGGGACAGGCAACAACAGTTGATTCGTTATTGATCGCAGAAAACAATCGCAGTCCATCCCAACGGGTTCGGCATGATCGTTTCTAAAAAGTATCCTCTGTTTCCACATTCTAACTACCTTCTAGAACTTTGTTATCGCATCGCGACGGACTAGGGGCAGTGAACAGCATGAAGCTTTCGCGCGCAGCTCTGCTGGCCCTGATAGCGGCCTATTCGCATCCAGTATTGAGTTCTGCTCCAGCAGAAGATGTGACAGTGACGGAGATCGTTCTTGAGACAGTCACTGTTTCTGAGACTTGGGAGGTCAGTTGCAATTCTATAGTTCGATATAACTTCTAAGTTATGGCAGGCAACGACTAGTCTACCGACAAGTCCAGCAGCATACTCACCAGTCTATAAACCCCCGTCATCACCTGTTGAATCGCCGTCAGATGTTCCAACACTGTCATTGACAACCAGCCTTCCAGCATACTGGATGATTCCAGGATCATCACCGATCGAAGTCCCAGAGACAAGTACATCGACTACCACAACACGCCCGGGATATATTTTAGCCAAGAGGGCAAATCCTCCAGAGTCTGCGCCTATAATCGCAAGATCAGCTGGCACAGTCACAGTGACATCAACATCAACAATCACAACCTGTTCTGTATGTACAAGTACATCGACTGCGTCCACCACTACTCCTGCTAATACGCCAACAATACCGCCTCCTGAAAGCCCGCCAACCATATCCACAACGACCAATAATCCTGTCACCGAGCCAACAACAGCACCAGGGTCTACTGTCACTGTGACTGTGACAACCACCGCTCCAGGCCCCACGGAGACTGACACTGTCACCACGACTGTGAGCTTGCCAGGCACGACGGTAACAGACATCCTCAATAGCACGGTCACTATTCCGGGAACTACGGGAACAGATACTATCACTACAACCATTAGCTTACCAGGTACCACGGTGACGGCTACTCAGAGTTCAATCTCGACCATTACTATCACAGCCACTACAACTCAACCAGGGACAGTAACCAACACAACCACTTTCACGGAAACTGCAACTACATCGGTAACAGTCCCTGGTTCAACAGTAACGGTCATAGCTACATCGACTGAGACGACCACCCAAACAGTCACCATTTCTGGGGTCACAGTAACAGATACCGCGACAGTAACTGAAACCTCAATGGCAACAGTTACTAATCCTGGATCAACAGTTACTGGCACAATGACATTAACTGAGATCTCAACCTCAACAGTGACAGACACAACCACTGTGACGGAGGGTTCTACACAAACCATTAGCCAGATTCTAACGACTACGGCCACCGAAACCGTGGTCCTGCCTGGGACGACCATGGTGGATTCGAGGACCGTTACCCTGCCTGGAACGACTATAATCAACTCGGAAACTGTGACTCTCACGGTTCCTGGAACAACAGTGACCAATATGAGAACAATCACTGAATCCGGGACAACGACGACAGTCTCTGAGGTAGTCACCCTTCCTGGTTCTATTGTCACCACCATAGAGACAGTTCCAACTACTCTCCCTGGATCAACTATAATTACCACCATCACTGTGCCAGGGCGGACAATTACCATGTCCGGATCTGTCACCACCTTGCCAGGATCAACTATTGTTCAAACCACTACTCTTCCTGGCGTCACCGTGACAGATAAGCAGACAGTTCCCACAACAATGCCTGGAGCAATGATTCTCACTACCGTCACTAAGCCAGCAAGTACCGTAACAGTATCAGGAAACATTATTACTGTACCAGGGTCGACTATCGTACAGACGACGACTCTCCCTGGATCACCATCAGTTGAGACTGTGTCGGTGACTGTCATCCATAGCACCACCATTTTCAACACAGTAACATTGGCTGGTCCGTCTTCCTTCCAAGCCCTCATTATACTTACCGGATAGTTCACTGACAAAGTAGGCTCTGATGAAACTGTAACCATCACGGGTCCGACAGCATCTACAACTGAGACCGGCAACACTCTGACAGTCCCTGGAACCACCACAACGCTCTCCATCTGCCCCACCCTCAGTATCAACCCCACTTATACTCCGGCTGCTCCCCTCCCAAGGGACTACACCTGGGGCTGTCCACCAGGCTATCTCTGTAAACCCAAACACACCGGCGCCGACGCAGGCTGCAACATCGAAGCCGGCCTGCCAGCGGAGTCCTATGTCTGCAGTCCGGACGAGTGTATTAAGAGCCCGCCTTTCATCCACGACCAGTACTGGGGCACGCCAGTAGAATCTAATGAGATTCAGTCGACCTACAACGTCTCAAAAGACTACTTCAACCTCGACCCAGAGATCTTCGGTCTGAACTACTCCATTTTCCGGATCCCGGATCTCAAACCGGGCGGCGACCATTACTACATCCGCTCCTCTCGTCGATCCTGGAGCAAACTACTCTCCCGGAAGTCGAATGGAGTATCCACCGTACCTGGCGCTTGCTACGACGAATGCAACGACGCAGCATTGGAGGTTGAATCTACCGGCAAGACCCCCGAGATCTGTAACGCTGGATCGGCTTTCAACATCTCTCTGGGCCACTGCGAGAAGTGCTGTAGCACCCACAAGACCGCTACCTCTGCCAGCTTTGAGCAAAAGGTACTGCCGAACTTTCAGCAGTTTTTGAACTATTGTGAGGGGTTGGAGGCGTTGTCGGCTACCACTGCTCCAGATACAGTCAGTTCGACTACTAGGGGTAGTCAGGCATCTACGACTGGAACGACATCCACGCAAAAAGGCGGCAGTACATCACAGACCGATCCATCAACAGCATCATCCTCACCAACTCGTCAGACAACTGCACCAGACTCGATGGCTGAATCTGAGACCACTACGGGTACTATCTCCAGTTCATCATCCAGGTCAGCAACAGGTCCCGCTTCGGGAAAGACTCCACAAAGCTCTTCCACTAGCAGTGACACTGGTGAAAGTGGGGCTACTTCAACATCTCACAGACCGACGGGTACACATTCCGGGACAAGTCCATCCGCCTCTGTATTACATTTTACAGGCGCGGCAAGTCCACTCACAGTGTCATCTCACTGGAGTATTCTGGCTCTCGTATTTGGAGTCGTGGGTTTCCATATTTGAGGTTCTGCTGGAAAGTTGACTTTGATGTGTTTTATGCATTTCCTAGATATATGAGTAGATTGTTTGTGCGTTACATATAATAATACACTATCGTTTTGAGACCAGTAGTACCTCACTACTTGTCAGAAATATATATAGTTAGGGCTTGCTAGTGATGTGCCGTTCTTTGGCATCCATTGGAAAGATTGAACTAACGACTAACGAGATCTGGATGTGGACCTTTCATCTGGACAGGCCATTATTAGATCAAACTTTTCAATTGGAAATGATTATTTTCCTCTCATTGATCTGGATCTATTTGTCTTCTGTCCTCTTATTTTAGGCATCCATTTCTCTACCATGAGGGGACTAAGCCCAAACAAGGAAGTCTGGTGAAGGCTTGGCATTCTGGGCGGAGACTAAGCCAAATTAGGAACAATGCATCTGATCTCTCTGGTGAGATACGGGTAATTGGCATCAAAGAATTCCAGACAGGGTATGCCTAGTACACATAGATAAAATCCTCGTTCTTTAGATCCGTGGTGTCAGAGAAGCCCTTGTCCTCCTTCGGAGCCGGTGGCGCAGGAGCGACCTCCTCTAGTTCCAGGGCCTTACCCTCCAGATGCTTCTTGCTCAGCATCGACTCGTCCACAATGTGAGCGGACTTGCCGAGTTCACGCCGTCTCTTTGCCTGTTTTCTGTTCAGGTACACCAGGTAGAGGTTCGTCATTCTGTCCAGTCAGCAGCTGCTCCAGAGGGGTGGAGGACACGTACATAGCAAAGCCTCCTACGATAACAAACATTATGAGATTGGAGATCAACCCGGGTCGATAGAGCGGTGCCTGCGACGTGGAATAGAGTTGGAGACCGATGACCTATGCGCGTTAGCACCCTCTGCAAACTGATCAGGAGCAGACGTACATTTCCCGCACACATTCCCACCAAGACCACGGCTGAAGTGCATTTCCTCTTCGTATCGCCTGCGGTATTCTGCGCCTCCCAGGCATATATCAAGGGCGTGATGGCCGCCAAGCACGATACCTACTCCGTCAGCTGCGCATCTCGATAGTCAGAAGAGAACCAACCAGGTAGTATCCAAACAACAGCACCCCCTTCTGTTCCCTTGGGACAACAATCATAAGCAAGGTCCCAAAGGCCGCGATGAGCGCAAACCCCACGATAACCAGACCCTTGCGCTGGAACCGAGTGGCGAGCCATCCGCCGCCAATGATGGCGATGATCTGAATAACCCCAAAGGGAATGTTGAATAGGATCGTTTCGAAGCTGTTATACCCAAAGGACTTGATGATGAGGTTGCCGAATGTACTGATACCTCCGCTTGGGATTCTGCAATAGTTAGCACGGGTCAACCCTGGAATGGACAACGTACGATATCGAGACGATTAGAAAAAACCAGCACCATGTTCTGAGATCGTAGAATGTCTCCCAGACGTGGTCCCATCGCCATTCCCGCGAAATGATCCCCATCTGGTTGGCGCGGAGCCGCTCGACAGCAATCACTTTCTCACGGTCGCTGAGACACTTGGCTTCCATGGGAGAGTCTGGCATGAAGATGAGGACGAGGAAGGAGTAGGCGACCGTCAGAAGGCCGCAGAACATGAAGATGATCTACCCATTAGCCTTGGTTCTTTGGGCCACGGAGGAAGGGCGTACCTGGTATGAGAATAGAGTGTCGCTGTGGATATGGCCCAGCCCGTAGGTAAACAAGCTGCCGATAATAAAGGTCACGCCGTTCATTCCGTTCCAAAACGCCGTCCGGAGTGTCTGCTCGCCTCGCCTCCACCACATTTGCGTCACGGCTACACATGACGGGGCTAAACGCGTTAGCATAGAACGAGAGATGGTTAAAGGACATACGGATCATGGCTTCAAACGCGCCCAGAGTGAACCTCAACCCTAGCAAACTGGGAAAATCCGTGCAAGCAGCCATGATGGCGAGGGAGCTTCCCCAGAGAAGCACTGCCGACCCGATCAGTTTCCCTGTAGGCAATTTGACCAGCAGCAAGGCGGCAATAGGCTGCATGACCAGCTGGGCCAGGTACAAAATTGACCCCAGCCAGGAGTACTGCTTGCCGTGGAGGTTCGCATCTTCCACAATGCCGAAGATGGAAACATACGAGAGGGACGATTTGTCGAGCTGCTGGAAGAAGTATGCCCCTAACAACAAAGGGAGGATGCGCCGGTCAATCCGTCTCAGGACGGCCTTTTCCTCCTCGAGTGTGAAGGTTCGGTCTTCGTTTACGGTGGCCAGAAACCGGGCCGCTTTTTCCTTGATGGGATCATTGCGCGTGGGTTGAATCGGGGTGATATGGCCTTCCTGTGCCATTTGTTGTTCTTGCTTGCTCATATTGCATTCCAGTATTCATTCCGCCTTATATCGGCGGTGCCAAGAGCTACTACATGTCTGTATACTTCTTGGCGATCTACATTTACCCCAGACTGTGAAATCCCCCGCAGTTTAGTTTCTTCTGATTCATGGAAAATCCATTCAGGCTGAACGCTGTTTCTTGGTTGTGTCACTTGTGTGGTGCGGGGTGTTGATCTCGGGGTATTTCATCCCGAGGTTATATACATCCTCTTCCCTCTTTTTTTGACACCATCGCACGAATCAATCAGACCAGAACAGACGAATTGAAGCAGACAAACAAAGACATGAAGAAATACGCTCTCATCGGCACCGGCGGCCGCGCCATGTTCTTCTACACGGCCATTGTGCGCGACTTTGCCACCACCGCTCAACTGCTCGCCTTTTGCGATACCAACACCACGCGGATGGCATACGCCAACAGTCGGCTGGAGGCACTCGGCCACGCGCCGGTCCCAACCTACCTCGCCAGCGACTTCGACAAGATGATCGCAGACACCAAACCGGACGAGATCATCGTGACGACCATCGACCGCACGCACCACCAGTACATCATCCGCGCGCTGGAGCTCGGCTGCAACGTCATCACCGAAAAGCCCATGACGATCGACGCGCCCCGCTGCCTGGCCATCATCGACGCCGTCAACCGCACACAGCGCCAGGTCCGAGTGACATTCAACTACCGGTACGCGCCGCATAACAGCAAGATCGCGGCTCTGCTGGCCTCCGACGCGATCGGGCAAGTCCACTCTGTGCACTTTGAGTGGATGCTCAACACGTCGCATGGCGCCGACTATTTCCGGCGGTGGCATCGCGACAAGCGTAACAGCGGCGGATTACTGGTGCACAAGTCGACGCATCACTTCGACCTGGTGAATTTCTGGCTGCGGACGAGGCCGGAGAGTGTCGTCGCGATGGGGGATCTGCGCTTCTACGGGAAGGAGAACGCGGAGCGCCGGGGCGAGACGCGGTTCTATGCCCGGGCGAGAGGCAGCGAGGTGGCTAGGTCGGACCCGTTTGCGCTCGATCTGGAAGGAAATGCGCAGCTGATGGCGCTGTATGCGGATGCGGAGCATGAGGATGGGTACTATCGGGACCAGAGCGTGTTTGGCGATGGGATCAGTATTGAGGATACGATGGGGGTGATGGTGCGGTATGAGAGTGGCGCGGTCCTGACGTATAGCCTGACGGCGTATGCACCCTGGGAGGGGTTCCGGGTGATGTTCAACGGGAGCAAGGGCCGGCTGGAGGTGGAGGTGGTGGAGCAGTCGTATGTCAATTCGGGTGGGGAGCAGGCGATGGAGGGTGCGTTGGAAAGTATGACGATTCTTCTGCGGCCCATGTTCGGGAAGCCTGTTGAGATTGAAGTCCCGACGGGTCAGGGGGGGCATGGTGGGGGAGATCCTCAGCTGCTGAAGGACTTGTTTGGTAGTGAGGCTATAGAGGATCCGCTGAAACGTGCTGCAACGCATCTCGACGGTGCATGGTCGATTGCTACCGGTATTGCTGCGAATGAGTCGATGCGCCGGGGGCAGGTTGTGCGCGTTGATGAGGTGATGAAGCTGCCAATCATCTAGAGAATTACTATGTTACAGGTTCTATTATGATTTAGATTGTATTGGTTGATTGCTTGCTATACTTCCATCGCCGTACGGACCTTGTATCTCTACAACTCCGATAGAGCATCGATTCAAAAATGCCATGAGGACATGAGCATAGGGGTAATTCCTGTGCTAAGTCGCGCCAAACAAGGGATGATCACGTCTGATCGGAATATTCCCAACCTGCTTGAGAGAGAGTTGATCACACTCTCCCCACATTCCTGGCTGACGACAGTGAGGCAAGGGAGACGATGCAGTCAAATCTCCGACTCCTGTGCCTTTCAGCATGTTCGTCTGTTCCATGCTCGAATCAACCAACAGTCCCGACGCGTAACCGCATCCTCTCAGGATTTCATCAGTATTGCAGGAAGATGAGAGGAAATCTCCAGCACCGTAGGCTTATGACCTCACATTATACCAGATGGTGTGACTCCTGGACGAGTCCAAATATAGGAAAGGTTATCTCAGGAATCCAGAGAATGAGCCTCTATTGGCAGGGACGTCAATCAAGGGAGGAGCTTAGGAAGAGCTCACCTGCTATGACGAAGGTCTGTCCGAAGCAATGATGGAATAAATGTCTGCTCCTCATGGCCTTCTTTCCTCCTCCATCTCTCAGTGACACCATGTCTCAGATCGTGGAATCCAAAGAACTTTGCGTGGCGCCCTCGCCCATCGACGAGGGTTTGTTTCAACAGCAACTAGACCTCCAAGGTCTCAAGCTGACCCCGGATGGATTCGTGCATTGGAAACCAGGCAACAAGCGACATCCCCGCAACTGGTCGAAGCTGCGAAAGGCCCACGATGTATCAGTCATTCTGTTGCTGGAGATGTTTACGTATGTTGCTCTTCTTGTACCTTGGGCGAAGCTGACATTCGCAGGACGTTGGTCAGTGCAGCAGGAGTACGTCAATCGACTGATGGTGTGAGCATCGCTGACCTGATAGTCTGCCGCGGCCAATGCTTCCCATGAGGAATTCAACATTAGCAAGACCTTGTCGATTTTTCTCTTCGTGCCGATGTATGTCACCCGTCCTTGTTCAGACCCAGCTGACAGTGTAGGTACCTCATTGGCCAAGGAATCGGCAGCATCGTATTTCCTCCGTACTCGGAAGCCTTTGGACGCAAGAAACTGTATATAGTCAGTACGGCGATGTACAGCGTGTCGTGCATCATAATCGCTATTGTCCCGTCCATTACTGGAGTGGTCGTTGGACGTCTGCTTAGCGGATTCTTGTCGGCGATTCCCACCAATGTAGTGGCCGGAAGTATAGAAGATATGTTCAACTCAAAAGATAGAATATGGTTCCTGTCGCTGTGGATGATGCTGGCTCCGTGGGGTCTGGCATTAGGTCCGATCTACAGCACATACATCATTTACGCCTTAAACTGGTATGTACCCTGCACTGACTCAAGGCAGTACTGACCGCGTCAAGGAGATGGGTATTTTACGTAGCAGCCATCGTCACCGGTTTCATCGCGTGTCTCCTGCTCAGGATCCGTGAATCTCGACCTCCCCTCCTCCTCGACCACGAAGTCCGCCATCTGTGCCAGGCCCTCGGCAAGGAGACCCAGATCGTGGTGCAAAGCCTGAACCCAGACCGCATCCCCGACTTGCGCACTTTCTTCACCATGGCCCTCTTCCGGCCTATCTACCTCTTCTTCACAGAGCCCATCATCTTCCTGGTATCCGTCATCAGCGCCATCCCCTTCACCCTCATCTACATGTTCACCGAGGCCCTCCCCCCAATCTACCAATCCTTCGGCATGACCCCCACCCACGCATGTCTGCCCTTCCTGGGCCTGGGCCTTGGCTGCGTGCTCGGCATGCTCACCCGCATCCACGACTACAAACTCATCATCTCCCACCACCGCCAGCGCCTCCCCCTCCGCCCCGAAGACAAGCTCCTCGGCTTCATGATCGGCGCCCCCATCTTCGCCCTCGGCCTGTGGCTCTTCGCCTGGACCATTCCCCCAGCAATTACAACCGTCCACTGGATGGTCCCCACCGTTGCCCTCGTGGCCATCGGCTACGCAGCAACCGAGTTCGGCTCCGTCTTGACGGGCTATCTCGCAGATAGCTACCTCAGCTACGCGGCCAGCGGCTTCGCCGCACAGACGATCCTGCGGACGAGCCTGAGCGCTGCGTTTCCACTGTTTGCGCCGGCTATGTTCGGCTCGCTGGGTGCGAACGTCGCGGTTAGTGTGCTGGCGGCGATTGCCACGGTGTTTTGTCTTGTGCCGCCGTTATTTGCGCGGTTTGGGGAGCGGATTCGTGCCAAGAGTCGCTTTGCGAGGTACAGTTTGGATGTGTATAATAGGATTACGGTTGATGAGGAGGGGTTTTAGTCCGGTGTATCTACGATGTGAGTGGTGATCGTTGTCTATACTGAGTAGTGGTCAGTGAAATAGGGTGTTGGTTAGATAGATCGAATAAAGACTGTGCATGATTTCGGACACGCCCGAAGTTCTATCCCAAGTTGGTAGTGATCTCTCCTGCTAGCTAGGCAGTCCCCTTCGCCAGGCTGCTTCTGGCCACTGCACCGTTCCAGCCTCCGGATCAACCCCAGTGGACGATTTCCCAGCTAGGCTTCTCAAGCGTATCCATGCTGAAGAGCACAATGATGTAGTATTCTCTCCTTGCGCAAGGACGCCCTCCGCCGTCAATATCCGCTGTCGCTCCTCCCACGCTGGCCGGTGATACTCCACGATGGCAGAGCCCGCCAACGCCATGATCACAGCTACCCATGGACCCCATTGTCCCACAGCGTACGGCGGTTCGCTGGTAGGTATCCCCTTATTAATTTGTATGAAGACCTCGTTCAAGACGATGACGACCACACAGACGATGGACAATAGATCGGTCATCAACCCCGGGCGGCGGCGCTTCTGACCCCGAGCCAACTTCTTCTGCGCCATCGACCGCATCCGTTTTGCGTAGCGGCGCTGTTTCGGGAGGAGGTTGCTTTTTGCAAGAGTCTTGTTTGCTGAACGGAGTGTTTGCTCCAGCTCGTCCTTTGTATAGTAGCGAGGCGTCAAGAGGAGACGGTAGAGCGACACCACGGCCCCGAGGAATATCGAGAGGTACATTGAGACTGCCAATAATCCGTATCTCTGACTCAATACCGTGCCAGCCGGTACCACGCGAATGCCGCTCGGGTCTCGAAAGGCCTGTTGTGTGCTGAAGCAGGCGTATGTGCAGTTGAACCGCATCAGGCTTAATTGTGCTGTGCTCGTCAGCAATATGGGTTCTGTGGCGTTGGTCGCATCGTTCGGTATAGATGTACATCTATCCTCGCTGGGATAATCCCTCAACATCGCGACAACGGCGCAGATTGTTCCCACCACCATCAGTAACCCCCAGTATTGAAATACCGGGCGAGCGGGTGATTCGCGCAGGAGTTCGGACCCATGGAAAAATACCGTCACGACTAAGCTTCCCACGCTGACGATGGCAAAGATTCCCAGACAATCCAGGTCAAGCAGAGAATTGCGCGATATGCCAGCGAGAATGGTGGCATGAACAGCGGCCGATCCGGCGTAGGTCATGGCCGCACCCAGCGCACCCGCCACCAGCCAGGGAGTTTTGCGACTGACGATGGAGAAAAGAAGGAGGCCATAGTATAGGACTCGCTGGAGAAGGGCATATTGCCCGTTGATTGGGTAGATGCATTCTATTCGTCCTTCGTCGAGGGTCGCGTTGTACTGGAGGAGACTACTCGCTGATGCTGTGGGGATGCTTGTCAGGAACAATAACACCAGGATATCTGGGGTAAACATCTGACAAGTGCTCATTTGGCAACTGACTTTTGTGAATAATGGACTGTGATAGGCAACTCGTGGGTTATATGCTGTTGGGGAGCTGAACTCAGCCACACATTGCTTTTTCGTAATCTGGGTTTCTATTCGACGCCTCGTCTTGCTGTGATACCTTCTACGAGCTCAGCCTCGACGTATTATCCAATGAGCTTGTTCGCGATAGGTGTACATTGGACTTACTCTGAAATAAGTATCATGTACATCATGAGATTTGCCATCTTCCATTAAGATGCCCCACGTCTCCAAGCAGATATGGCGATGTCGAAAGAATAACGTTGTGTGTGAGAACCATGTCCCCGAACCAATATCTTATAGCAGGTCAAAACCCCGGCAGGCGACCTTCACTTTCATCGATGGTATCTGGATTGACATCGTCACAAGCCGATAGCAGCCTGATATTCTCACTATTGCCTCCATTCCGATCATGGGACAGGGGAGTTAAACCCCAGAGTCCGAGGCATCCACTTCAATATTGTCTTCTGTCAACAGAAGCAAATGAGCATGCTGCGATTATAGAGCTTCATGACAAGATACTGATACCAGGCTCCTGAAACTGGTCCTTGACCACCCTGGATGCGACACAGGCATTAGTGTGACTTTGGACAATCAACGGCTAGGTATGCTAGGGAGATGACGGAGAAGGAGACTAAATTTCTCGCTGTCTCTAATGATGAATAAATGCTAACAGGTTAGCAATGATCTTCACAGCTCCTGATCTGCCTGCCAACGTCATGTTGTCCTTGCCCACCGCTGTTACTCCCCAGTGACCATCTGCTTCCCCGGACGATGAACTACCTAAGATCGTCGTCAACCTGGATAAAGCTCGTGAGCCAAACCAAGCAATGACAGTGATAGTACTAGAGTGTCCTCAACCAAGGGAACCACAAGCGAGGTCGAGGAGTTGTTCTCGAACACGAAGCATGCAAATTTTCCCTATAACAAAGCCCATAATACCCTATACCTCAACAGTGTCGCGATAGAGTCAGCAGTCTGGAAAAGGCAATATAGATCACGCCTACTCAGGGGTTGACAATCGACGAGTATGTCGCCCGACCCGTTGAGCGGTATTTCCGGGAAGACGAATATATTCTCCAACAATGTCTCGGTAGAAAGTCTCTGGTGATGTATGAGAAAGCATGCTTCTATTTGGGGAAGGCCAATATCGCTGTCGGTCAGCAGCTGGCTTGATGCAGCTCCCCAGTGCCATTGGCGACTTACGCTGGACTCATCCTGGCCTTGCTCTGGAAGTTGATGGGAACTCATCCAATAATCAGAATTCAAAGGATACTTTTACATTTACTCTTGGCCAGTTGAATCCGTTGTTGACGGAGCGGGATACGGATCACTTGAGCGATTCGTAAATACCTTTCTCTCGGTAGTTGATCTGATTCGAATAGCAGTTCAGCCTGGATTATCGTCCGCGCATGGTTCTCTATCAAGGATATCATGATCCTGTCGTGTCTACCAATGGTAGCTCAACCGCTGCACAAGATATGCACGTCTAGAGTCGGTGAGGCACTTTCATAAGGCTACATACTTGCGGAGAACGCACCATGGTACTCTTCTGATCAAGCACCAAACAACTGATTGTCAGAATTCTTCTAAACATACGTAAAGTTATAGGTAACTTATTCAAAATGGGAGGTTGCAACGGGTATATGCTAGAACCAATATCAATCAAATTTCAAGAAATCGGTGAGATACGGTCAGAGGCAAGCATGCAGGCATGATCTTTCAACCTCTATACTAAGACATTACGACGCAAGGAGGTAGACAGTTCATTACGCAGCTTGCATTCAGTAAATCGCATAGTGATACTACTGCTACTACTATAAACTCCCCAGCCCCTGGCTCTCTGCAATGAAATAGAACGTTTTATGCCTATATCTTTGCAGGTGTCACCGACTTTACTCCGCTAGCTATCAATAGTCACTTATTCATAGAGTCAGAAGAGTGGTGCTCTTAAAAGGCTACATCAATCTATCCAAAAGGTGCTATCTGCGCGTCAGCAACTTCAGAGCAACAAAATAGCATCGCGCACAATGACTGTGACAGTCCCAGAATTCCATGTCATCATCATCGGAGCCGGTATGTTCCCTCATCCAGCACTTATAATGATACTAACGCACTACCAGGCGCAACCGGCCTCCTCCTCGCCCAGGGCCTAAAAAATGTATTCCTCCCCATTTCCAAGTCCGGCAGCAGCTGACAGGGTAGTCCGGCATCGCATATACCATCTACGAACAGCAGGATGAGGAGACCTACGCCCGCCGGGCCGGACAATGGACCATGGCCGTTCACTCTGCCCTGCCGTATCTCGAGTCGATCCTCCCTCCTGTCCTCCGCGCAAAACTGAACTCCACGACCACGAATCCCTGGTCCGAGCCAGATCCTGCCATTGCGGCTGCTATCCCGTTTGTGAATGGTGCCACTGGCGAGTTGATGGCGAAGATCCCGATGCCGAGTCCGAAGCGCGTTATCCGGGGGAAGCTGCGTGATCTGTTAAGGACGGGTGTGGAGGTTAGATTCGGGATGAGGTTGACCGACATCCGGGTTGAAGATGATGGGGTTGTTGCTGTTTTCAATGGGGAGGTGGTCAAGGGGAGTGTGCTTGTTGGAGCGGACGGATGTAGGTTTTCTTCCTTTCTGTCGATTGATGCTGACGCTGTCAAGCGCGGAGTGTGGTGCGAGGGCAACTCGTCGATGCCGAGGTTGCGGCATTGCAAAAGCCGAACATCATGGTTTTGGTTGGTCCTTTACCTTTATTCTCTGTGGAATTGCGCTGATGCATAGAGTAGAATGCCTTCCCCACGTTCACCAGAGAGCAAGCCCTCTTCATCCATGCGAAATCCCACCCAATCGTGCAGCTCGCTCCCCATCCACACCAGAAGACAAGTATCTTCTCCAACGGTACGTCCTCATTCCCTGCCAAGAGCGCAACTGACAAGCTAGTGGCCAACGTGGTCGACCCTGCTCGGCCGGAAACCTGGGTGTTTCACTATTGCCTCTCGATCTGGACGGCCGAGGAACCCCCAGAAAACGTCGAGGCGCGCCGCGCCCTGTTCAAACACTACATGGGCCAATACTGCGAACCCTACAAGTCGGCCGGCGAATGGTTGAATCAGGATACACCAATACTAGCCGAAAAGGTACGTCTTGACGATTTCATTGGCGGACACTGACGAGGAGTTCAGTTCCACTACTGGAAAAACATAACACGGTGGGATAATTTCGGCGGAAAGGTCACCTTGGCGGGTGATGCGGCGCATCCGATGGTCCCTTGTATGTCTCTCCTACGGGTTGCTGTTGAGTCGGCTGACGATGGCAGTCACCGCGCAGGGGTTGAATACCGCCCTTGAAGACGTGAAGCACTTCCTTGATGCCATTGTCAAGGTTGTATACCACGGCGCGGATCTCCAGACGGAGATGGATGCCTACGATGAGTCGGCATATACGCGTGGCAAGCGGGATATAGACTTGTCGACGGAGCAGATGTACGCGTATCATCACTGGGAGGAGATAATGACCAGTCCGTTGATGAAAGGAGGATACGGTGCCCAAGCCATAGTTCCACCATCAATTAATTAAGGCTCATATTATTACATACTAAGATTAAGGCTCATATTATTACATACTAAGACCAAGGCTTTGTCACAATCACACTCCTGGGAACATGCGTCGACTCATCCTGGGACCGATCATCCCGGGACCCGTCGTCTCCATGTTCTGACCTTCCCTCCCGACTCGTTGTAACCGGCTCCTCCAACTGCGTAAGCTGAAGCTCACTCTCAACATCATTCATCCGCTTGAAAGGCTTTTTCTTGCTCCCTGAGCCCCCAGACGCCGCCGGCGTCGAGTATGCGGTCTTGCGGCTGGCAAACAGTGTCGGAAAAGCAGCCTTGAAGACGGGCCGTAGCATAGGCACGCACGCATTCAGGTTCGCCAGGGCCGGCTCGGTGACGCTCCAAAAGGCAGCCCAGATCATCGAGTAAGGGAGGTCGAGGAAGTCGACGGTCGTGAGGACGCGGATACGGATGATGGTTATGGCGGAGATACTAGTCTCAATTAGCCACTGTGTGTTTGAGTGAAAAAAGAAAGAAAGAACGTACAAGATACCCATTCCAAAGATACCGTAGAGCGCCAGCTTGGTCGCAGTGCTCATTTGTAGCTTCCAGATAAAGTGCAGCGGGAGCACCATGATCATGACGTCCGTAATGAGATTAAAGGCGCCAATGGTTGAGAAGGCCACGTTCTGGCTTGCGCAGTGGCCAGGTAGCAGCGGGTTCCAGTTCCTCTCGAAGGGCTGGCAGATGAGGAAGATCTGAAGCATGCTGCCGGCCCAGTACGCACATGCACAGCCCATGCACACCCAGGCCGCGATGCGGAAGCCCTTGGTCACGAAGATGCGGAGGTAGAAGAAGAGGTAGCTCAGTTTGGCAAGGACCATGGCGTTGTAGTAGACGACTTGGTAGACGATCAGCATCTTGAGGAGGACCACCAAGTTCTCCCCCGGGATTTCCGTGACGTGGTTGCGCATCCCGATGCGAGCGTAGTGGTACTGCATCGCCAGCATGCCGTATGTGTGCAGCATGGAGCCTACACAGCAGCCATCGTCCCACCAGATGTTATTCTGCCGGATATGTCGCGAGACAAAACGGAGAACCAGAGCAAGGGTAGCGAAGGCAACCAGCACCGTGTTGGCGATGAGCTGGTCGCGCACGATGGGAAAGGCAAAGGCATCGTACAGGTGCACCATTTTGTCTCACCAGCGCCGGCATGGTGGATAACTGTAAAGGCCTCGAGCAAACCCTTTATAACGGGCCCTGGAACCTGAACTCCCAATCCAGCGAACAGGCAATTATCACGAGACAAGCCTGTGGCAGGCACTAGAGGAGCGCCATACACGATAACTCATTTCCCTCTTACCCTAGGAATCCGGCCTAATTCCCAGTTCGGTAAATGGACAGGCATTGCTCTGCTTTCGGGTAGCCGCCAAGTCGTCGAGACCAATCTTCGTCCGCGCTCAGCCAACAAGCGGCTGGCCTCCTGCCGATCAGGACTGGCGGAGTCTCAGTCTAGTAGACTGAGACTACTACTTTAGTCTAACGGCGGCGCGCAAAGGATGCGGGGCGGAGGTGGAGGGATTCCGGTGTAAAGCCATTGGAAGAGACACGAATGGGGCGTGCGTTAGCTTCTGGAAGGAAGCGGGGTAGACTAAATAACCTTGAACGAGGTGCCCATATTTGACAGGTCATTTTGGCCCAAGCGTACGTTGGGCTTTGATGCGCGTCGATCCACTCCGTATTGCCTGACAGTCTAACCCGACGACTCAACCTGTCCAAACACGACCCCCACCCGCAGCAGCTGCCTCGGACTGAACAACACAATGGACGAATACGACTACATCATTGTCGGTGCTGGCATCGGTGGCCTTGTTCTGGCCAACCGGCTGAGCGCAGATGCCTCTGTCAGCGTCCTTCTCATCGAAGCCGGGGCCAACCGCATGGGCGATCCCCGTATCGACACCCCTGGCTTTCTGGGCATGTTATACGGAAACCCAGACTTTGACTGGGACTATATGAGTGTCCCTCAGGTATCACCTCCATTCACAACTTCATTCACGTCAATAATGCTGACCGTATAGCCCCATGTCAACAACCGACAAATCGCGCAGCCCCGCGGCCGCGTCGTCGGCGGTTCCTCGGCCATGAACTTCTCGGTCGTCATGTACCCTCCCGCATCGGACTTTGAGGCATGGAAGGCGCTGGGAAACAAAGGCTGGGGCGCGGAGGATATGGCGCCGTACCTGCGGAAGTTCCACACGTTCTCCCCGCCCAGCAAGGCGACAGCCGAACTCCTCGCTCTTGATCGCTACATGAATGCCAGCAACCAGGGGTGCGATGGTCCCGTGCCTGTTTCCCTGCCGGACGTATATGGGCCGTTCAACAAAGCGTGGGACGAGACATTTGCGCAGCTTGGTTGGCGGACGGACGCGGATCCCATCGCAGGACGCAAGTTGGGAGCGTTTACCGCGCCGCTGACTGTTGACGCAAAGACAGGGAAGCGGGGGTATGCAGCGGCATACTACTCCCCTGAGGTGGCCGCACGGCCGAACCTGCGCCTGCTGGCAGAGACCATGGTCGAGCGGGTGCTGTTGACCAAGCTGGACGGAGACGTCGTAGCCACCGGCGTGCAGATCAAGAACAAGGACGGCACGAGGGAAATCCTCGCGAAGAAAGAAGTCATCCTTTGCGCCGGCACCTTGAACAGCCCTCAGCTCCTCGAGCTCTCCGGCATCGGCAGCGCAGAGCTCCTGCAAAATCACGGCATCCCCGTGATGATCGACAGCCCAGGCGTCGGCGAGAACCTCCAAGACCACTGCATCAGCAGCATCAGCTTCGAGGTCGCCGACGGCCAGGTCTCGGGTGACATTCTCCGCAACCCAGACGTGGTACAGGCACTCATCAAGCTCTACGAGGAGACACGGGGCGGCCCAATGGCAGGCATGCCCATCAGCGTGGCCTACCTCCCCTTCGTCGACGGCCGGGGCGTAGTCCCCAGACAAGAAGTCGAGGACCTGCTCGCGAAGTATCTCGATAACGCGCAAGTCCCACCAAGTCTACAAGCGCAATACGCGCACTTGCGGAAAAGGCTCCTGGACAATGATACCGCCTCCTCGCAGTACCTCCTCCTTCCCGCGCAGCTGCACGTGAAACCCGGCGCGACGGGCATGGCCGACGTTCTGGCTAAACCCCTGCCGGAGAACTACATCAGCATCATGATCCTGCACAACCATCCTTTCTCCCGGGGTTCGGTGCATATCGCATCCTCCAAGGCGGAGGACAAACCGATCTACGATCCGAAGTTTCTGTCTCATCCGCTGGATTTGGAGATCCTGGCTCGCCACACACGATTCCTCGACAGAATTGTCGCCACGGAGCCGTTCAAGTCTCTGCTCAAGGAACGGCGGATACCGGAGGACTGCAATGACTTGAGCGATCTGGATCGAGCAAAGGAGGTGGTCAAGGAACGGTTGTTTACGTGCTTCCACCCTGCGGGGACGTGTGCCATGTTACCGCGGGAGATGGGGGGTGTGGTTGATGATCAGCTCAAGGTGTATGGGACTCGCAATCTGAGGGTTGTCGATGCGAGTGTCTTTCCTCTGGAGCCGGCTGGGAATATCCAGGCGACGGTTTATGCGGTTGCGGAGCGGGCGGCCGATTTGATCGTTAGCAGTAATTAGTGTTACTGGTCTATCATTATGAATACTCCGTAAATATGCTGTTATCGATAATGAGTACATTGTTGGGCAACAGTGTTGTGGATAACATTCCACACATGGAATGCGACATCAACAACATCCATCCCTTCCTCTAGATTTTGATTTTGATTCTCACACCTCAACATGATCACCAAAATCAATCACCATGCAATTACTATGGCTCCTGTTGATCTCCCCCGCGTATAGCATCCATCTAGACGTCAACGATCCCACCTCCATCAAACAAGCCGCCCACGATGTCGCCGCCAACATGCTCTCCCACTACACGGGGATGAAACCCGGCGACAACCCGGGCAACCTGCCACCGCCATACTACTGGTGGGAAGCCGGCGCAATGTTCAACGCACTCATCGACTACTGGTACCTGACGGGCGACAGTACCTGGAACGCAATCACCACGCAAGCCCTGACCTGGCAGGCCGGGCACACGGGGACCTTCATGCCAACGAACCAGACCAAAACCGAAGGCAACGACGACCAAGCCTTCTGGGGGTTCGCAGCCATGTCCGCTGCCGAGCGTAACTTTCCAGACCCCGACCCCGACCCCGACCACGGGCCCGGGTGGCTGGCGATGGCGCAGGCGGTGTTCAACACGCAGGCGGCGCGGTGGGACAAAGACACCTGCGGCGGGGGGCTGCGGTGGCAGATATTCAGCTTCAACAATGGGTGGAATTACAAGAATACCATTTCCAACGGGTGTTTCTTCAACCTGGCGGCGAGGCTGGCGCGGTACACGGGCAACAGCACGTACGCGGAGTGGGCAGAGCGGATCTGGGAGTGGACGGTGGACGTGGGCTTCATCACGGAGGACTGGCTGTTTTACGATGGGGCGGATGTGCTGCTGAACTGCTCGGAGTTTAATCGGATCGAGTGGACGTACAACTCTGGGGTGTATTTGCTGGGCGCGGCCAACATGTACAATTTTGTAAGTCTGCTTCTCGTCTGATGAGCGTGGCTAATGAGACAGACGGAGGCCGACCCCCAATGGGAAGCGAGGACAAAGCATATCCTCCAGGCGACGGACGTGTTTTTCGTCAAGGACCCGGTCATGGTGATGTACGAGCGGGCCTGCGAGCTCGTGAATACCTGCCAGGTTGACCAGCGCACCTTCAAGGGCTTTCTCGCCCGCTGGATGGCGGCAGCCACGCAGGTCGCGCCCTTCACGTACGACTGGGTCATGCCGCGGCTGCGCGCGTCAGCAGCTGCGGCCGCGAGGACATGCACTGGCGGTCCGGATGGGGCTGCGTGCGGACAGAAATGGACGACGGGGGTATGGGATGGCAGTCAGGATGTGGGATTGCAGATGAGTGCGCTGGAGGTGATGCAGAATATCTTGATTGACCAGGTAGATCCGCCGGTTACGGATGCCACCGGGGGGACTTCAGTGGGTGATCCTGGCGGCGGAATGGAGCCGCACGATCCACGGCCGCGCGTGCTGACGATGCCTATCACCGGCGCAGATCGCGCGGGGGCGGGGCTCATGACGGCGATGCTGGGGGTGTTGATGATAGGAACGACAGGGTGGCTTCTTTATGAATAGCTTTGTATCTGTAGATGTGTACATCGATCAATGGTTATTTATTGAAGAGCAGCCAGAATCCGTCGCAACGCTTCGTCCAGGTACGCCTGCGGATGCGCAAAGACAATGCGGAACCATCCCGGTGTTTCTGAGCCAAACAACGGCCCCGAGGCCAGAAACACCTTGTTCTTTAGCAGCCGCTGCATGATGACCTCGCTGACATCTTCATGGATCGCCTCGGGATGGCGCCGGAGATACGGCGTGCCCAGGTCCACCCAGACAAAGAATCCGGCATTCGCACCAGCCATGTACGGGATCTGATTCTGCGTCAGGAATCCTACTGTATACTCATACGCCTCTTTCAGCTTCTCGCAGTTCAGCCGGATATATTCATCCGTATACGCATCATCCTCGAGAACATTTGCCGCAAGATGGTCCGCTGGCCCCGACACATACGAGTACAGTGCGACGCTGTCAACCGCCGCACGCACATCCTTATTCCCCTGGCTAATCAGCGCCCCCAACCGCAGCCCATTCGCCCCAAAATCCTTGCTCATACCCCAGAGAACATGCACCCGGTCCGCATTGATGACTCCCTTGGTGTCAATACTCAGCGCAGAGACAAACTCTCCTCCGCCCCATACGGACAGCGCATATATCTCATCGCTGATAAAATGCATCCCGTGTTCCTGGCACAACCGCATCAGCGCAACCAGGACCTCGCGCGAGTAACAGCGTCCGAGAGGATTATGCGGGTGACACAGCAGCAGCGCGCGACACTTTTTTTCAGTCCGCTGCTCGAAGCTGGTGAGCGCGCGTCGGTACGCGTCCACGCAGTCTGCGCCGAGCGGATCCGCCCCTCCAAACGGAACAGTCACAACCTCGGTCCCGAACCGCATCGAGATATCCGCGATGAAGGTGCCGTAGTACGGTCTTCCCAAGAGGATCCCCTCGCCTTTATCCGCGAGCGCCCAGGAGAGGTGCTCGACAGCCGCGGAGACGCCGTTGGTGAGGATGAGATGGTGCGGTTCGAGCGGGGTAGCTGGGTGGAGGCGTCGGTTCAGGAAGCGGGCCATGGCTGCTTTGAGGCGTTTCGAGCCGGATGCGCCGTCATTGTAGGTCAGGGATTTGGAGGTGAGGCGGAGGTTCTGGTGCATGCGGTTCAGGAGGTACTCGTGCATTAGGAGGTTCTCGGCTACGCCGACGCTGTAGTAGCCATCGGGGTTGGTTTCGGGGTCGTACATGTCGGCCAGGACCTCCCAGATGATGCTGGTTGCGTTGGCGTGGAGGACGTCATTTGCGCGGGTTGAGAGGGCCATTTCATAGATGAGAGATGATGAATGAGGATGGAGAGGAGGAGGACAAGGAGAGGAAGAAGAGAAGAATTAATATCTTTCTCAAGGATGCGAAGTGAGTCAATTGAGTTCTATTGGTGGGTCAAGTAGCGCAGATATTACCCCACAGTATCCTATCGTTCAGCGGATACGTGGGGACAGATGTTACCAGAAGTTTGGTCATCTAGTATTTCATATTAACAGAGATCTGATTCTTCTTTAATAAGCAACTCCAGAGTATCCAGGATCTATATACTGAAATATACCTAGTGAAATACAAGGCATTTTATGCATAGTACCTGAGGGTATAGAGCTGTTCTAACCGAAAACGGCTCCATTGGCTGACACAGCAAGGTGCATTCCTGTTCCGGTATAGCTCTGTTATCTCCATCCTTGCCGCTTTTACCTCTTGGCCTTGCCGTTGAGCCGTGGTTTTGAACTGCTTAGTGCTTGCCTCACCAGCAGATCCCTAAACTAATCCCCGAGGATGCTTCCAACAGGATAGTAATCCTCACAAAATGCAAGGGTTTGGTCCTCCTTGTCATGGCATTTTGTTCTGTTTTATCTACTGATGAATGTTGTACAATCCGCGTCAACAGAATTTGTACGGAGGACGGTAAACACATATAATCTAAATAGATAAGGATGACAGTGATAATCTTTTGATTTACAATAGTAGGTTGACAAATCTTTTACCGCAAACAGTAGGAAATGCTTGACAGTAGAGCTTATTATTATTCAAAGTCGGGGTACTACCAAGGACTCACCTAAGCTATCAATGTCTGCATGACATCAGGTAACGATCAGAGATACCAGGGCACTGTATTCTAGATGAGTCCTTTACGTTTTGGCCCTTGCAACTCAAGTATATATAGCCCATTTAGAGAGAGGTATTCTAGCCAGTAACTTACCATTCCTGCAGATTAACTAGCTGTGATTCTTCTCTTATTCCAAGATGCTTGCTATAACTGGACTTTACAGTCTCCTATTCTCCTCTCTACAGGTGACAATGCCGACTGCAGACACTGCTCTTGAACTCCAGGGTCAGTGAAATAGCATCACAATCCTTCAAATTTTAACCTTTCACCTAGACATCTCTGCCAGCCTTTTAACTAATCTGACACTATTTTCTGAATATTCTGCTGCTGCTCTCTGTGCAGAAAACTTTGCCTCACCAGGGGGAAAGGTTATGTGCGATCCAGGGGTATGCCCAGTCCTGGAGCAGACAGACACAACTGTTATTGCTGGATTCTTCGGGTATGAGCGCGCCAACGAGGCTCAGACTCAGAGGCTAATGTCAGATAGTCATGATCCGGGTAATACCACTGGCTTCATAGCAGCTGACAGGACAAATAAATTGCTTGTTCTGTCATTCCGTGGTAGCCGGACACGGGGAGGCTGGGCCACTGACTTTGAATATCGGCAGGTGCCTGTCTATAACATTTGTCCAGGCTGCCAAGTGCATCGTGGTTTTTACTATGCCTGGGGAAACTTCTCACGATACATAATGCCCCAGGTTGACAACCTTATGGGTCAATATCCAGGTTATAGACTCATCTTCACTGGTCACAGTCTTGGAGGTGCCCTAGCCACATGGGGAGCAGTTCTTGAGGGAAACACTAACAGACCTATTGGGCTGGTAAGTATTCCAGTAACTGCAAATAGAATCCACCCAGGCAAAGTGCTAATGAGAGAACAGTACACTTTTGGATGTCCTCAACTAGGAAATCATGATTTCGCTCAGTTTGTCACTGCTGAAACGGCAGGCTCTGGCTACAGAGTAACACATACGGATGATCCAGTTCCAAGGCTCCTGTCTACTACTTGGCCGATCAATGTGACTTGGCAGTATAGCACAACATCTCCAGAATACTGGATTACTTCAGGGAATGGCCTGCCAGTCACGGTCAATGATATCCAAGTAATTACGGGCATCGACAACAAGAGCGGGAACCTTGGCACAACCGGACAGGATATCCGGGCTCATAACTGGTATATTGGCGACGCGCAGGGGTGCACAACTGATTGAGCTTGTTTCTATAATTGGAGATTGGGGATGAACTTCTCTGTTTTCATTCTTGCATATTTAAAAGTGTTTGATTCGAACTGTTAACATTCCTTATAGGTCGCTAATCTTAATTACATTGGATTCTTAGTAAAGATGCCTCTTGCAAAAAGCTTTCCGGGCTGGTCCAGTATTTCTTAAAATTTATATAACCTTCGTATTTGCAAGGGACTTAGCTGAAGGTAACTGAACAATAAGGTTCTTATTTAATGCACACTTTATCTGGCAGTGCTTGAAGCATCTTGCAAAAATATTGGTCTTTGGCTTTGTGGTTTGACTAGCAACCCGCTAGCTTTCTTACATGATTGAAGGATAGTGTAATCGGCTGCTTTTGAGACAGTGTATCAGGGTAAAAGAGACTTAAGGTGCATGAATTTGCCTGACAAAGAATGAATGAGCGGGTAATGCAGACAGTAATCGCCTCTCCAAACACCGTAGGCCGGGTTTTCTGGAATCTAGGGCATCTATGGGGTAACTAACTCTTATTGCCCTAATTTGGCTAGTATGGATAGTTCCACACCCGTTCACAGCCCTACCTCTCCACAGTGGATCTACTCTTTTACTTATGTGTTTTCCAACTTAGAGGTTGAGCACCTCTATATAATATACTCTAGTCTCTCTGTTTTAAGAGACTGTAGGTTTGCACACAGGTTTTATACAAGACAAGCGCTAGATGTATATATCTCCCAGGACTGTGCTGAAAAGAGGTAAGTATAGATTTACTAATAGAGCATCCACTACCATTCCTCTCTAGAGGACATGGTTTAGATGACATGATGGAATGACTGGGTCCAGTGTTGTGAGTTGATATCCTTTTGATAATATCGCTCATTGCGGTACGGTGTTGCCTGTTGAATTTACTTAAGATCCCTGTCGCTCCACCAAAACTCCATTTTTCTTGACAAACTCTTGACTATTGTCTATCCACCTGGTATAAATCGTCACAGAGCGAAACGAAACTTCTGGTATGCCCCGGTTGCGCTTGCAGTTAAATAAGATACTAATTCCATCTTCTAGACTTAGAAACAGCAATCCTGCAATGCCCACACAAAGACTTCCTCAATTGTTCTTCCGATTCTTTCCCTCCTTTATCACCTTTACGTTGATCTTGTGCAACACCTACCAGTACTATGTTGCTTATGAAGACTGCAGTCTCGGCAATCCCTTATCTTTGCCAACCTTAGCTCATGGCTCGCCATCGCCTACTTCTATCAACGGCCAGTCTCTGCCGGAGAGGTGGCACCAGATCGATCTCGTTGATGCGAGCGGTGTCGAGTATCCCGAGTACGCTCAGTCACTCGTGATGGGTCTGACTGGCAATATCACCGATGTTGATCTTCACAAGCGCCGTCCAGATGATGTCTGCAGGTACATCATCACGCCAAATGCCTGTCTGGGTATTGGAAGCTATGTGGTTGGTTGGGCGAAGAGTATGGCACAAATCATCAAGGATCTCTTGAATAACCATAATTGTGGCGTCATCGATGGCACTTATCGGGATATCAGATACGTGTTCTATGCTTCCGGCCGCAACTGCGATACCACTTCCCAGCAGGACACCATTGCAGGTGCGATCAACAAGTATATGCAGAAGGTTGATAACTGAAATCTATGCCACACTGAATGCTTGCGCATTACGCACGGTGGTACCTACAGTGGATGGCTGAAGGCCGGCCCCAAGACCAGCTTCAAGGAAATGCCTACTGTGGCACCCACTTGAATTTCGATCACTGTATCTCGGACGGCAACAACGATATCTAAGCATTCACTTGAACTTGTCTGGTTCAGGCGGGTTATTGCGTAATGTTACTATCTGTCTAACCTACTTCGAATAGCACTTGGGGCGCTCTATACACACCCCAGCCACCAAGGCCGCGGATGTGCATCTGCAACCTTGACCTGGGGCACACAACACGCTGATGCAAACTGTGCAAGGATCTATCTCGAATCAACGCCGCTGGCATGTCGTCTCTATCTGAAGCATGGTTGGAAAGTCATCGACCAGGCTGTTATCGACCTCTCCCAGTTCGGGGGCGATGGATCATATGATATTAGTATTATGATGAGGGAACCATTTCAGGATAAAGCCTTATAGGAGGTGCCCAGACTCGTGAAATGGCGGAGATAGTTGGAATAGATCTGCCCAATAATTCATTAAGAGATCCTAAAGACGATTTAGTTACCTGTACCGCAAGTAACAGGTTAGATAGAACCTCTGTTCCATGCTTAACATTCTCTTCTAATACGTTCTACTGGATAGCAATAGGAATACTATTTTTAATGACGACGTTTATAACAAGCTGTGCATCAGCACTGCTATTAATTTATACTAAAAGTCATGGCAAAAATCTCTTACCTATTCAGGCTCTTCTACAGTATAGTCGCAAAAGAAATCACGTTCAGCAGTTAATTACAAAAGAAGGGAGATGGTAGTACTGCCAAGAAGAAGGATAAAAATCAGGATTCTCATGCCTATGCATGCAAAAGGATCTCAAACTAGCAGCCAGAAACATAAATCCGTTCTGGAGGTGGTAACGAGATAGGGGACGAGGGTCTCAGCCTTCTATCTCAAGCACCGAGATGAAATAAAGCCTGCGTAAACTCGACAGATATAGCTAAGATGCACATATGAGATGCAAATAAGGGCTTTTCTGTTGTGCCTGCAGGAAATGCGGTGGAGCTCCCCAGCGTCTCATGGGTTCTTGGAGCGAGCGGGCCGTTCCCTAAGAACGAGTCCAGCTATCCTTGCATAGGAATATAGCGCCACCTGTGGGTTTTCCAATATTTCTATAGGCTGTACTCGCTGGCCGAGGACCGACTCATGAAATCGAAGCAACTCTCTACGCGCCGAGGGCGCGATTTTGGTAGCGTGAATTGAAGCCGAGGACATAATGATTCATCCAAAGTATTCACTTTTGCATTTCCTATTCACTAGCATTATATTCTCACCTGCAGTAAGTAGTGAATAATGGAAAATTCGGTCAATCTCCTCAGGCACAAGGGCAGACCTCCCTCCGGAACAAACTCTCCAGGAGGCAAAAGCCATGCCAAATTCAAGGCTGGACTGTTATCACCATGGCCTTGTCGAAGGGTCAAGTTTTCCCATCATCAACCAACTCTTGGTACATAGAGTACTATGACTAAAGAAATGTGTAGACAGCTGCCTGAATGATGAGGGTAACCTGTTCATGAGGCATTGTGTACAAGACATGTAACATATTATTGTAAATCCAATAGGCAAATGATAACCGTAATACCCAATATATGCAGACAGCAGGATGCACCAACTTACTTCCTCTCTGCAGATACTGGAGTACTGGGTATAGAATGATCAAACAGTGCGTAGCAGTATCCATCCCAATAGGAAGTTTAGAACTGTTTTTAGATGTATACTCGCTGTACGGGCTTTTCCAATCTAATGACATCCGTAAACACCATTTTTAAGCCATGGATCATTCCTCGAAATAGGGGCCTAAGTCATCTCTGCACCTCCTATCACATCAATTTGTCCAAGATCTGTGTTGCTGTTTCGTGGGTCGGGAAATGACGGGGGTTTGGGAAAAAAAAAAAAAAAAAAAAAGACCGTGAACCCTGCATGGAAGGAATATGTCGAGTGCACTCAAACCACTGATCTAAAAGGTGTCAAGACTGCCATCAGTAGAAATGATGGTGCAGCAGATATCTAACAGAATATTGGGGCATGAAAACCTCATTAACCGACCCACCCCCACCATGCTGTTGATGTAGTCACGTGAACGATTCGGAGAATCCTCTCTTTGTTTACATAAACAGCAACTGAGTTGTCACCTGATCACTGGCGCAAGATCACAGGAGGGCCAGTCCAGGCTACAATACCCCGACATATCCTTGAAATCTTCCTGATCTGACACCACTCTTAGAATCAGCGTTTTCATGTCTCCCGCTTTTGCATATATCTGGAAGTATTTGCCCTGACGGCTTCATCGACCTACCCTCATATCACTTGACTGCTGTCCCATTGATGAAACTCGCTCCCACGACATGGTTCTATATAGACTCGGGGAGAAGTCTATATCCCTAGAGTTGCCTGATGCCACGAAAAAAAAGGTAGACTTTACCGATACCTCGTTTTTCACCACCAGCCCAGGCCGGCAGCTGCCTTCACCGGCTGAAGTGAGAGCTCTATCCAAGGATATTGGTAGACGTCCTGAACCAGCACCTATCAGATTTGAAAATCTTAATCTGATCGTCAAGTTTGGCCGTTATGTTACAACTTGCGAGGCATTGAACCTTTGGATGATTAAAAAGGTTTTCGGTGATGAGGTTCCGGTGCCTGAGCTCTTTGGCTGGCGGGTTGATGATAAAAACTATGTGTTCATATATATGGAGCTGATCAAAGGCCCAACTCTTGCAGAGTGTTGGGAGCATCTTAGCATCATGGAAAAAAGGTCGATTTTGGATCAGCTCTGTCGGATCACAGAGAATCTGCACAGGCTTGCGCAAGATGCCTCTGATCAGTTTGTCGGTAAGACAGACAGCATGATGAACTCTTCGAGAACTGTTGCCTCTTACTTACCTCTAACCTAGGATCGATCAACCGGCAACATCCATTAGACTACGTGTTCACAGACCAGCCCAGGGGTGGACCTTTCCCGAGCGTAAAGGAATTTAACGACTGGTTTGCTTTGTTACACCAACTGCGCTTCACGCGCAGATATGATGATCCCAATCGATGTTTACTGCCAGATACTGGGGATATCAAGTTTACCCATGCGGATTTGGATCGGCGCAACATCATTATTTCCTCCGTCAATCCGGGTCGTGTCGTTATTGTGGACTGGCAGCAGTCAGGATGGTACCCGGATTACTGGGAATATTGCAAAGCCCTCTATACCTGCTGGTATGAAGATGAGTGGCGCAAGGACTTTATCGATAAATTCTTGGAGCCTCGGATGGATGTGTTCTATGTGTTTTCCGAGTATTGCAATGCTATGGGTGCCCTTTAGCTTACACTCCGAAAGCCCTACTTGCGTGTATGTGGCATATCTTCGCAGGTAATAATAGGCTAACTGATGATGGCAGTCGGTCGAAGAAGTATTACAAAGAAACCCATATCGATACGCCGGAATCCAGATGATTTCCGTCATAGCTTAACCCTGCCATATACTGGGTTGTGCCTTGGCCCGATAATCTTTGATTCCGAGTCCGTATCCTGGGAGGCTCGATTGCACAGATCGCAACAAGCGGACGTCTTCTGCTCAACCCGAGTGTCCAGGACACGCTGCTACCGGCCGTAGACCAATTCCATGAGTGGGAGGATCACGTTTAGATTGGACGATCTCAACCGCCTGTGTTCCAATGTACCCTTTCGCGACCAGATGACGGACATATTCCATGGTCCACTCTTGACATCTTCTGTTCGTAGTCTGTGTCGAATCAAGAGTGAGTGAGTGACGAGTGAGCTAATTGGTAATAGAGGAGAAAGCTTACATCATTCACAGGGGCCATGAAATTCTCACTGATTCCTGGAGCGGGCACCTGAGAGGCAGCAATTTCTATGTCTCCTTTGGGATCGGTATGTATAGCGCGGATATCATCCGGCCAGTCAACAATGTGTGAGGAATCTACCTCGCCAATAGGCCACATTTCGTAACGTCGTCGAGTTAGGGTAGGATTATAGCCACGTTTAAATTCGTGTGAGTAACCAGCCATTGGTGCACCGACAGCGTGAATCACGCTGCCTTTCTCGGGGTCGGTTGCCGAAGGAACAAAGATTGCAAAATGGGCACGCTGGCTTGGGGCTTGTCGATATGAAATAAGGTAGATGGTTCGCGGGGCCATAACTGGGGTGTAGTCCTGTCTGAGTGTTCGTATATATGGGCCCCTTGACAATGCAAATTCAAAGTGTTATTCGGAACACTTGATATCTTTCAAGATCAAGGGGAGAAAACTCGAGCTCAAATGTTTGTCATGGAGGTGCGAAGGAATGAATATCGCAATATCGTTACCTAGCTAACTAAGAGAGAAGGAAAGGAAGGGTGGCACTTGCATAAGCGCTTTGCGGTTCATTCCCAACCAATAGAAATGATTGTCTATCGTTATGTTAGAAGGATGGTGTTCCAAACAGTAAAAAAACCATCAGCAAATTTGCAATCGGTTGGATGTTCCTGCAGTCTCCAATGCGAGGCTGAATCTGGTTAAAAATAGGCCGAATCACTGATTGTTGCGTTCGCCTCAAGATTTAGGTACGGTGACATCATGCTATCAGGAGATAGTATCTCTCTACTTTGTAGGATTATAGGCGTTATACTTATCATTTATTCCTATAAGAGGTAATAATACGTTGCATGTCTGCATACAAGGCCCTCACAATGGGTTACTTCATCATTCAGACGGAGTCTTTGCCTACACATCTCTTTGCTGATAGCACTGTAAGGGCTTCGGTAAAGGTATTTTTGATCTGTGTTAGATACAACTTTTATGCGGTTGATAATATCATCTGAGGTATTCCACATTCGAGGCCTTTATTCTGATTCACTGATTGTGAGTGATTATAGCAGTTTGCAGTGGGAAATATATCAGTCTGCGACATATATTCAGTGGATCAACTTCTACGGCATAATATACAACACAAACATACTAGATACACCTGACTAGTTGCCCAATTGACTATTGTCGAGTCATCAACGCTGGTGGTCCTGTATACCACAGAAATGCGTGACAAAGCGTATAATACAAGCTTATCCTATCGCTACCTATGTATATCTCTGTAATCACAAAAGAAATCTGCCCAAGAAACGGCGAAGTAAGAAACTGCTAATCCATACATATACCAAGCCACCCTATTTCAGTCCTCCCCCCGACTCCTGCGAATGCGATACCATAACCTCAGTCACGCAGACAATCCCCTCCCCACCAGACGAAAGGATATGCTCCTCACTCGAGTTCCTCCCCTCGCCACCGGGGTACGTCGCCGTCGTGGTAGTCTCATACGCAGACTGGTACGTCAGCGGTCCCTTCCTCTGCGTCTGGCCATCGGTGTCGAAGTTCCCGCTGGCCAGCGTCTGCGGTTTGGACGGGTTCTGCCGCGACAGGGAGCGGAGTTTGTACCGCGTGCTGCGGAAGTAGTTTCTTGTGCGGGATTTGGAGCCTCGCGAGCCGTAGCTGCCGAGGGGTTGTTTGAAGAGGGGTTTAAGCGTGGGGAGGCTGCCGGCTATGATGCCTGTGTTGCATTCGACGCTGTCGGGTCTGTTAGATGTGTGCTAGAGGACGAGGAAAAGAGGAATGGAATGGAGACTTACACAACCCAGATGGTGAGATCGGTGTAGTCCCAGAGAAAGTCGCCGGTGCGACCGTAGATGGGGAGGATGGATACTTTGACGAACGCCGCGGCGCAGGCACTGGGCTGTTAGTATGCGTGTTTCAGAAGACTGTGGATCGCTTACAATACTCCCAGTCCTAGGATGCAGACTAGGGATGCCTTGACCCGGCGGTTGACTTGGAGATGGCTGTTCTCGTTAGTGGGCTCAAGATGATAGGAAGAGACATACCGGAGCATGAAGGCGGGCAGTATGGCGAAGATCAGGTCCGTCAGGATATTCAGAGCTGTGGAGGTCAGCCTGGTAGCAGTTTCACCGTCTCATGACATACCGGTGTTTGTGTAGCTCAGTTGCAACAGCTGCGTCGGCTTGAAACATTTCGACTTGACGCTGGGATCCCATATCGACCGAATATTGTGGCATTGGAAGATGAGAGTCTAGACCGTTAGACTGACATTGAACTGGGTCAGAATACTTACGAAGAAGCAAATAGTCGTGTATAGCGACATCAACACTGCCGGAGTCAGCATTGCACTTCCTCGATGTACGAAGAAGACAAACCGATAATCACCCAGATGAAAACTTTATACCCCCTCCTCGGCGCGAATCGCAGCAGAAACAGCCCGATAGACACCTTGACCAACCCAATCGCCCACATGTATATGCCCTGCGTCGCGAAATTGAGCTGGTTCGCTTTGACCGCCGTGTCCATGACGTAGGCTGAATGTCGTCCGGCACCGTAGATGACCTCAGGAATGATGATAGCCCATCCTGCAAGCGACTGCAACCATTAGCTCTGTCGCGAGTCAATATCGGCATAACCTACCAACACCATGGTCAAGAGCATCGTATAGTCCTATCCAGTCAGTTTGATGCCTCGTCAAAGGGCACAGAGACGCACATCAGCGCCGACATTGCGGATGATGAATACTCGCACGTACATGCGCGCGAGCACCGTCAGCAAAGCAGATATCGTTACAACGGACGTCGCGGCGAGGATCGCAGGCCCTCGATTCTCGTCGGGCAAGCCTGCCCCAGCTATGTGATCGGCCATGGTGGTCGTCTCGACGTCGACTTGGCCTTCGTGAAATCTGTGCTATGGAATTGAAGACATAGAAATACAAGGTGGAGCAGATCTCTAAAGGGGCCCAGTACATCAGAGCACGGTCAATTCTGGGTGTCGCCAGGAACCGAACCGGAACTCTGGTTCTAGCCGAGTCAACTAATCGTTGGGCTAAATTTACATCTCTGCGGCGGGACTGTCCCAATTTCTGCCATATTTGTGTCTGCAACCAGGGATAAGTCCTGCTTCCATTAAACTTCAGAGTTGAGGGGCTTGAGCGCTCTCTTCAGCCAGAGAAAAGTCGCAGACAGAAAAAGCAAAGCAGTCTAGGAAGACACAAGATTTGTGGCTGCCAAAGTCATCATTAAATACATGAATGCATTTACACATAACTGCCGAGTAAGCGACATTACGAGTCCGATCGAAGTCATGCACGAAGACAGGGCCACGAGGTGGTTGCATTGAAGCACATGTAAGACATGGCCCCGGCCAGCCCTCCATTCACATGTCTCGGCAGTTGCTGATCGAGTGTCTCTGTGCATAGCCATAAAGGTATTATCTAAACGATCGTGTTAGCCCTGGCACTAGCTGAGTCGAGCTAGACAGACATAATTTCGGGGAAGAGGGAGGAGTCTTATCCGCTAAGTTCAATAGTCGAAGCCTTTCTTTAGGCAGGAGGATTCAGGAGGTTATTGTTCCATCAGTAATGCCAAGGTTCGATTAAAAAATTAATTGACTGTCTTCCAAATGTCTCCAGTCCATCTAGGGCGTGGAAGAACGGTCCTCATCCAGTCGCTTGTCGTTGATAGACTGAGAAATTGATATCAATCTGGTTGATCGTTAGAGAGACAATAATATGCCTTTGACGATCACAACAGTCGGTGCCTGATCGTCATCAGATCAGTGGAGAGTCAGATCAAAGATCCTGAGTCAACGTCCATGGTTCGCTCTTTTCGAGACGCTTCTTGGCCCTGAACTAAAGGGTTGAGTTGGTTGGGTATCTTACTATCTCGTCTTGTACTGTTGAACGCCTCAGTCTACAGTAGTAGGTCTGGACCGAAGCCAATGAATATGTAATATGTATTAATATTATGTTTGGATGATTTAGTCTAGGAATAGGGCAAAGTCCGGAAGAATGGAACAAGGGCTTATGTTCCTACGAGGTACCAATAAAGGAGACAGAGTACTACCATGGACGAAACAAGCCCAAAAATCAATTGTCTCCTAGCTTTTTGTATGAGTATTGTTTTAGGCTATATCTTCTATCCTATGCCCAATTCAAGGCCCAAATTGGGAACACCTTCAAGTGAAACACCACCGTCAGGACCATATTCATCTACCGAGGTCAGTCATCAGACGATCGAGTCAAACGGACCATGCCGACAGTGGAGACTGACTGGAGACGGTTAATATTATGGACAATTGCCAATCCCACGATGCACTCTATCCACCTTCCAGCCACAGTCTAGCCAGGCCACTAACATACCGGCCAGAAGCGATGATCATTCCTTGCTGGGCCTAGTACAGAACTGACCAGGATACAGTTTAGCTGACCCTTCAGAAAAGTTTGGCTGCTGCCAAGATAGGTCAGAATATTCTGTAATAGCTAAGATAGTGAATAAAATAACTAGTGATTACATAACTAGGCCCTACTATAAAGATTAGCTAAGTTTAATACTATAACTTATCTTCTTATATATCTCTTACTCCCTTGCCCCTCCTTTTTAAATTTTTTTTTTATAAACTAGTTAATAATTAGTTTTTAATTAATTAATTAATACCTTATCTACCTTATTCTCTTCTTCCTTCTTCTATTAAAGGTAGGTCTTCTACTTTAGAATACCCTTAGGTCCCTTACTATTATCTTACTATTATCTCACCTTTATCTTATAATTCTAGTAATATAACTAGTTCCTAACTAGACTAGTTTATATATCTACTCCTAGATATCCTTTAGCTAACTAATTTATAATTAGTTTATATTTAAGATAATATTTATTAAGAAGTTAGTAAGTGTCACGGGCTAGAAGCCTAATAAATCTATAACCTAGATTTAGACAGTAAGAAATCGCTGAAAGGTTCTAACTAGGGCCGTGACGGCCGAACATAAAAAGGAGTGTGCAAATGGTGGGTGAGATCATATGATGAGATTAATTACTATATTGATTACTATAAGAGTCATATAACTACTGGTGTCCCTACTAGACAGGAGTTTATTAGTGCCTAAGGCAGATTATGAGTGCCTAGTAGGCTTGAGCATTCAGTAGGCCCTACCCACTACACTATCCCCCCCTCTAAATTAAGGCTGGCGTGCCTCCCACGCAGTAAGTACTGCTGTATTAGCAAGGTTTATAGCTGGCTCCTAAGTGGGCTACTCATAGCCTACCTACTTAATAAGGTACTCTGTTTAACAGCCTTATCTAATATATTTCTCACACTTCTATAAGATCTCCTTAATA